TAAATTGCCATCACGAGCTGTCTGCTCGTTTCGGAGTGGTTGATTGTTTAGTCACCAATAATGGGACACAATTTACATCTGTGGATTTTCAAGAATTTTGTGAAACTTTTCAGGTGAAGCACATCAAATCTCTGCCATATCACCCATGGTCGAACGGGAAAGCAGAGTGGTTTGTAGATACATTAAAAAGAGCACTAAGGAAAGCTTATGACGTACCAACAGAAAAGGTTTTACAACAATTCTTGCAAGTGTATCAAATTACACCGAAAAGTACTAGGTCATCGGTATTATCGCCGGCGGAAGTAATGTTCGCCCGAAAAATTAGATCGCTATTCGACAAATTACTGCCAAAACAGACAAAGCAATCACCAACGTCAAGAAAATTTGGCCCAGGGTAGAAAGTTTTTTTTTAAATGTTAAAAAACAACACATCCTATTGGGAGCCAAATACAATAGAGAAACGAATCGGGAACGTGATTTACATAATTCAGGGTTCGATGTTCTCGCATAATTGGTACTTAAATCAGATCAGAAAGAGGCTGTTAGAGGATTCTAACGGCCAACCTCAGGAAGAGGAGGAAGTAATGGACACAATATTTGACACATTAAATATGCAAAGGCCTCAAGCAATTTCAGAACCGCGGAAATCAAGCAGAAAAAGAAAATTTACAGAGTCTTTGATGATTAATCCGAAGAGGAAACAATATTAAAGACTCCGGTGAGGTAAAAGTTTGGGAGGGGGGTGTCATGGGTCCTTACCTATAACTACAGAATGAACTCTTCCTAACACTATGTATACTACAACCCTCTGGGGAGAGAGGGTCGAATCAAGCCGAGCTTTTCGACTTGACGGTCGAACTCTCTGCTTTTGAGCAGAAAGGAACCCGGACGAGGTTCCGCCGAAGGGCAGAATCTCGTTCGGGGTGAATGACCTACCCTGATCTCGTTTTTACGAGTCATACGGGCATATTTTGGCTGAGCCTACGGGCTCAGGAAACCCACGATAAAAATGACCTTGTGTCGCATGCAACCCTCGTGGGGGGTGGCTAGATACTGAATCAAGCCGAGCTTTTCGACTTGACGGTCGAACTCTCTGCTTTTGAGCAGAAAGGAACCCGGACGAGGTTCCGCCGAAGGGCAGAATCTCGTTCGGGGTGAATGACCTACCCCTGATCTCGTTTTTACGAGTTATACGGGCATATTTTTTGGCTGAGCCTACGGGCTCAGGAAACCCACGATAAAAATGACCTTGTGTCGCATGCAACCCTCGTGGGGGGGTGGCTAGATACTGAATCAAGCCGAGCTTCTCGACTTGACGGTCGAACTCTCTGCTTTTCAGCAGAAAGGAACCCGGACGAGGTTCCGCCGAAGGGCAGAATCTCGTTCGGGGTGAATGACCTACCCTGATCTCGTTTTTACGAGTTATACGGGCATATTTTTGGCTGAGCCTACGGGCTCGGGAAACCCACGATAAAAATGACCTTGTGTCGCATGCAACCCTCGTGGGGGGGTGGCTAGATACTGAATCAAGCCGAGCTTCTCGACTTGACGGTCGAACTCTCTGCTTTTCAGCAGAAAGGAACCCGGACGAGGTTCCGCCGAAGGGCAGAATCTCGTTCGGGGTGAATGACCTACCCTATCTCGTTTTTACGAGTCATACGGGCATATTTTTGGCTGAGCCTACGGGCTCAGGAAACCCACGATAAAAATGACCTTGTGTCGCATGCAACCCTCGTGGGGGTGGCTAGATACTGAATCAAGCCGAGCTTTTCGACTTGACGGTCGAACTCTCTGCTCTTGAGCAGAAAGGAACCCGGACGAGGTTCCGCCGAAGGGCAGAATCTCGTTCGGGGTGAATGACCTACCCTATCTCGTTTTTACGAGTCATACGGGCATATTTTTGGCTGAGCCTACGGGCTCAGGAAACCCACGATAAAAATGACCTTGTGTCGCATGCAACCCTCGTGGGGGTGGCTAGATACCGAATCAAGCCGAGCTTCTCGACTTGACGGTCGAACTCTCTGCTCTTGAGCAGAAAGGAACCCGGACGAGGTTCCGCCGAAGGGCAGAATCTCGTTCGGGGTGAATGACCTACCCTATCTCGTTTTTACGAGTTATACGGGCATATTTTTGGCTGAGCCTACGGGCTCAGGAAACCCACGATAAAAATGACCTTGTGTCGCATGCAACCCTCGTGGGGGGGTGGCTAGATACTGAATCAAGCCGAGCTTCTCGACTTGACGGTCGAACTCTCTGCTTTTCAGCAGAAAGGAACCCGGACGAGGTTCCGCCGAAGGGCAGAATCTCGTTCGGGGTGAATGACCTACCCGATCTCGTTTTTACGAGTTATACGGGCATATTTTTGGCTGAGCCTACGGGCTCAGGAAACCCACGATAAAAATGACCTTGTGTCGCATGCAACCCTCGTGGGGGGGTGGCTAGATACTGAATCAAGCCGAGCTTCTCGGCTTGACGGTCGAACTCTCTGCCTCTGAGCAGAGAGGAACCCGGACGAGGCTCCGCCGAAGGGCAGAGACTCGTTCGATTCTGTTTTTACAGTTTCTACGGGCATTTTTTGGCCGAGCCTACGGCTCGGGAAACCCGCGTTAAACTCGGCCTTGTGCCACATGCAACCCGCGTGGGGGTGGGGTGGCTAGATACTGAATCGAGTCGAGCCGATAGTAGTTCACTCCAAACTAGACAGTCATACTAACACTTTCCACATCTTGTATTATTATTTCGTGTAATATACCTTCGTTATTTCTACTCTTGTGTTCGTGTTGTTCTTCCTTGGTCCTAACCTGGACCATAACAATTAGGAAGTTTTTTTATCACCGCTATTTTGTAATTATTGGGCATTCACTTTTAAAGATAAGGTGGCAAGAGTTTCTGCTAGTGCGTTTTTTATACAATGAGGTGGTAAAAGTGTTGTTACTGTATTCTACGAGAACGTCTAAGAAGGGGAGGGTTTTTTTTTTACTATTAAGGGCAGAGGAATTGACCTTGCCGTTCCAATACGTTTAGAGTGGGGGGGGGGCGTGTATATATAAATCTATTGTCGGATGATCGGCAACTAAACCGGCCACCCCGACTCTAATTTATTACGAGTAAGGCGAGTTGTTAGCAAACCTGTAGGATGAAAAAAAAACACCTATCAAAGGACTTGAAAGTCAACGGTCAGCTACAAGAGGTGGTGTCTCAATAAAAATCATCGTGAAGAAAACAACAGGAAACCACTCCCTATCAATCACAAGAACATTCATGATTCTCAATAATTATTATACAAGATGTTCCTTTATTCAACTCTTCTTTAACAAGTACAAACTTGTTAATTACTTAAATATAATCTATAAAAAAATATATTTTTTCAAATGACAATCTACACATTTTTATCCTGCCCTTACCTTGCGTCTTTCGTTGTTTTTGACTTTTGTAATGATAGATGCTCGATGTCGTTAACTTCATTTTTTTTTATACAACGTAACATGTACTATAATGAAATAAACTTTTTCCTGATTAATAGCCACATTTTTATTATTTACATAAATAGCTACAACCATATTGCAACGTTTTTAGTAGGCATCGCCAAAATCTGAGCTAAAAATTAAAAACACTTTTAAAATAATTTTTCTTTTTCGTAAAATATTGGTTTTATTTGAAAGATAATAATCTCTAAAAATAATTTTACGTATTTCATTTTTAAAACATTCTCATGGTTAACTTATCATTGATCCGCCATTTTAATTGAAAAATGACGACAGAAAATTTAAGACATTTTAAAAATCTCTTTAAAATCTTTTAAAAATCTAGTATTCGTCAAAAATATTTACTTTAAAGAAAATTTGTAAAATTAAGGATTAATTAATGCTTAAAATATAGCGAAAAACACATTTGAACTCAACAATGTATGTTCCAACAAGGTCAAACAGTAGCAATTGCTCCGGCGACAACTACTTAAAAATAATAAATAAAACTGCCGTCATGTTTAATAAAATACGGAAGACCAAAATTACCAAATTACAGAAACTGGTTTCATTTATGCTTAAAAATAATGATTTTTTTTTATCCTTATATAACCAATAACTTAGGAATATATTTTTATTCTATGCCTTTATAATATATGCGGGATACTTTGGGGTTAATGACATCATATTCTTTTTTGCATGTTGCTCACCCAATACAAGGCCCAAGAGCTACTCAAAGTGATAGTTTGTGGTGTTGTATAAGGATAAGAAAAGGCAAGAAGTGAAGTTAATGGGGTTATGCAGGAAAAATAACGTCTAACCTTAGATTTAAAGTGGTTAAGATTGTAGTGATTGGCAAAACATGCTGCCGGGAATCTGTTCTACAAAGCAGTAGTTCTTGGAAAGATGATGTCCGAGTGGAACTTCTTACTAGTGGAATAGAGAAGAATCCTCCGTGTGTATGTGGCATGAGGGGGTTACAGTTGAAAAAGTCAGGGCTGGTGGGGCTAAGTCAGAACACATGTCACGGTGCGAGGCTCACGATGTTTCGTCTGTGAAATGGACAATAATTCATCACCCACAGGGCCGCGTAGACGCTTTTGAATTCGATAGACAGGCAGATGAGGATTGGGCAGTTCCAGCCCAGAGATGGCAGCATTACTCCATTTTTGGTTTCTTTTGGTCTTGGTTGGTTTTACGGCGTTGTTTTGAGGTGCAACAATTCGGTTTCGCTTTTAAGGCTTCCTTTGAACAACCATGTCTACATCGTTTCATGTACAATTCCTTCAGTTTATCTTTTGGAATCACCTTACTCTGTTTATTTCCTCGCTTTTGCATTATTGTTTCCCTTTTTTACTGGCCTCTATTTGATTTCCTATTATAATCTCATGCATCATCATCATCATGCATCATCATCATCATTATTATTATTATTTATTTATTTATTTATTTATTTCAGAATATCTATTTCCCGGTTGACAGAACAAAAGCAAAGCAAATACTTTTAACCGAAGTTAACCGTACGTATCATTTACGATGGACTCCCACGGTAGTGAAACTAAATTTTCCATATATGTTCCAGCAAGACCTGGTGGAGGCGGCCGATTGGCCAATGTGACCGGCCGTGTCTCCAGAAAAGACAAACAAAACCCATTTGCCGGAATAGAGAAACAAAGTTATGCCGAAGTGATCAAAACCTGCCAGGAAAGAGGTATTTTGTTCGAAGATCCGGAATTTCCAGCTGATGATAGTTCCTTATACTACAAAAGCGGTGGGAACTTTTCCGTCGAGTGGAAGAGACCATCGGTATGTTGAATTGTCATTTTTCAACCACACAATTTTGTTAGCAATAAAATAATATTTTATTTATCTGGAACAACAGTATTTTGAACCGATACTCCACCCGATCCACTTTACAATAATATGACCAAGTATCAAAATTTATTTTAGATTTCTCCATTGGTCAAGTTGAGAAATTTTGAACATCCACTCGTAAAGAATTTAATGAAAACAGAAATAAATTAATAATCAAAATGAAAAATTATTTTTTCAAGCGAAAATATTGGGTTTAGTTTCGTTTGTTTTACACGTGAACTAAAATGAAATAATAAAATAATTTTTTGTTAGCCTTCATAAATATCTCATATGAGTTGATGTGTAATTATAATCATAGATTATGTTAATTTTTATATTTAACGTGTCAATGCAGATATTTATGTATATACCTCTTTAAAGGTTATTATTAGTGGATACTCGTATTAGAGTAAGGACTCTGTTTACATATTAAACAGTATATTTATTTATATTAACCTACCGGCCTGAAATTTTGAGAAATCTTATTAAAGAAAATTTGCACTCTTCGACAGGAATCGAACCTGCATCTCTCAGGGTAGAGAGAGCCATCGTTTAGCCCGATGTATTTATACGTCTTTGGCAACGAAGAGACAAACAGACAGGCGAAGTCAAATTTGATGCTTTGACGAGAAATTTCTCTTGTCAATGATCTCTCGAAGTTTTTCATATTTACACGCAGTTTTGTATCTAAACAAAGAGAATTTATTAGAATGGATTTATTTATTCGAAAGATTTCTATTTCGGCTTATATACACTACAATAAATATCACATTTGTAACCATTCTGATGTTTTCCTAATTTTTTAGAAAACTGATAAAGGGATTCATTGAATTATTTTCACTTTTAATATGCATGATGCTTCACATATGTATAAATTATAATAGAATACAATTTGATTTATCAATAGTTTTATGAATTTTACCGGATTTTCCAAGTGACTGAATCTGAGTTTGATTACCGAATCTTTGAAAAACATTTATAACTAAAATTTATAATTACAGAATGTGTACAACGTTTGCGACGAAAATTGTTTTGAACAACAAAATGTCAATAGTCTCATTAGAATAAGAAACTTATAATTACGATATTAATGGGAAATGCAAACATTGTTCCGAAACTAAAAGTTGTTCATTTATTCATTTTTATGAACCGTTGCATTTATACATATTAAACAGACTAAACAGAATTCAGAATGTCATTCCAAAAGGCATATTTTCTAGTTAATTGCCATCTGCTAATGTAAACCTTCTTCTTCAGAATGTACTCCACAATTTTTCAATCGAGTTCGAGAAAACAACCTGGTTACTTCATTAAATGAGTATCCGTGAAACCCATTTTATTCAAATATTCAATTCATTACTGAACTTGATAAAGAATCGTCAGAGATAAAAATTATTTTAAAATGCGTTTGACTCCTTCTTGAAGCGTGGATTCACGTACAGCATCAAAAATGCTTAAGCTCATTCTTAACTTGAGGTCCACACCATGTTAAAAGGAAAAGACATCAGCATACACCACATCAAAACCTATAATCTCATCCCAAAACATCTCTCCACCTAGGCCTTGTTGATGTCTGAAGCTTTGAGAGCGGTTTCTGTAATAATTTATGGTTTACACCACGTTAAAAGAGAAAGGCACCAGCATACGTCACTTCAACAACTATAATCTCATCCCAAAACATCTCTAACCCTAGGCCTTGTTAATATCTGAAATTTTGAGAACGCTTTCTACCTTAATTTAAAGTTCACACCACGTTAAAAGAGAAAGGCATCAGCATACCCCTTTTCAAAACATCTCTCCACCTATACCTTGTTGATGTCTGAACCTTTGAGATCGGTTTCTATCTTAACTTGAGGTTCACACCACGTTAAAAGAGAAAGGCACCACTATACACCATTTCAACACATATAATCTCATCCCAAAATATCTCACCACCTATGCCTTGTTGATGTCTGAAAGTTTGAGAGCAGTTTCTATCTTAACTTGAGGTTCACACCACGTTAAAAGAGAAAGGCATCAGCATACACCACTTCAAAACCTATAATCCCATTGTGGGTAATTCAGTTCGCTGGTCGTTTGCGGTGACTGAAATGGGTTAAAGTGCCTGCTTTCTTCCCAGTTCTCCGCTCTACCAACTGAGCTGTCGCTACTGACCTCTTCTTTATTCTCTTATTAGTACACCATCACACCAAAAACGTGTTTTGTTCTATCCCGTCTTCCTCACAGACTCTCTATTTATGCCCGCCTCGGGAGCAACTAAAATTTGCATATGAGATTTACTTCTCGTTCGCCCGAGACTTCCGATCTTATAAATTGACGCCGGCTTGAATTTCTAGTCCTTCTTATTTTTCGTTTTCGTTGTACGCCTGCCCGCGATATAAGAGATTCGGAATAATTCATTTTCGCTTTTAACGCCGATCGCGATCTTTCAACAAGACCTGACACGCCAAGCAAATTCGCTTTGCTGGAGGTAAGTCCTCACACCCATCCAAAAAACATCTCTTTACTTATGCCTTGTTGATGTCTGAACCTTTGAGAGCGGGTTCTATCTTAAATTGAGGTCCACACCAACTTAAAAGAGAAAGGCACCAGCGTAGACCACTTCAACACCTGTATTCTCATCCCAAAACATCTTTCCACTTATGCCTTGTCGATTTCAGAAACTTTGAAAGCGGTTTCTATCTTAAATTGAGGTCCATACCACGTTTAAAGAGAAAGGCTCCAACATACACCACTTCAAAACCTATAATCCCATCCCAAAACATCTCTCCACCTATGCCTTGTTGATGTCTGAACCTTTGAGAGTGGTTTCTGTCTTAGCTTGACGTCCGCTCCACATTAAAAGGCAAAGGCACCAGCATACGCCACTTCAACAGCTATAATCTCATCCCAAACATCTCTCCACCTATGCCTTGTTGATGTCTGAACCTTTGAGAGTGGTTTCCATCAGTCGCTATCCAGCTTTTGCTTGACGGAATTCGTCAATAGGAAGAACGGTTGGAAAATCGGTGTTTATGTATTCTGTTGTTTATTCCATTCGATTTTCCAAATGGATGTGTTTCTAAATGAAGACTAGGGGTCGGTCTCGGAGGTTGTGCCACTTGATTTATGACCTGATATATGCTTTTCAACACTTCCTCGCTACAACAATGCCTAATATGTCATAGCTTACCAAAGTCCAGCAAAAAAAAAAAAGAACAAACTTTTCTTTCACTCCTCCATCTAACAATGCCTTCGTTTTTTACAACGACAAACATGTCTACTCTCACTCTGACCGTGAGCTCTACTCTAGAAACAAAAAAAATGACTTGTCGTTTGATATATATATATATATATATATATATATATATATATATATATATATATATATATATATATATATATATATATATATATAATATAAGGAACGGAAACAACAAAGACATAAATATGTGTATTACTTAAAAAGTAATGCATGATTAGCAATGAAATTTTTACCGAATAAAGATTAGGGTGTAATGCATAAATATTATACAAAAAAAATTTACATAATATTTTTTTTTAAAATAAAGATTAAATGGAACAAAGGAAATAAGCTACTGGACAAAAGTTAAACTTTTAATTTACATTGTTAAAAAACTCGATCGAGCTTTTCAACAATAAGTAAAAGTTCATTTATCATTAGGACTTTATTTTTAAGCCATATTGCAAATTCTACACGCAAAAAGCTCTCTTTTAAAGAAAAAAAATTCCTTATCGCTATCAAGAAAAAAAGGAGGTTTCAGAAATTTCTGATATTGTTCATAAGTCTAAAAGTGTCGTTCATCGTGTAATTAGCAGGTATAAAACCGATAAAACGTTAGATGCAAAACCAAAAACCAGCAGACCTCAAAAAACATCGCAAAGAGACGATCGAAGAATTGTTAGAATATCTACAAAAAACCGTTTTGAAACTGCTACATCAATTGCCCGTAAATTTAATGAAGAGACAGATAAGATCTCAAGGAAAACGGTTGCTCACAGGTTAAAAAATGCAGGATTGCATGCCCCTATTTCAGCTTCGAAGCCTCTCATTTCAAAGCGAAACCAAAGGGCAAGCCTGGAGTATGCGAGAGAACATGTTGTTTGGACTGACACACAATAGGGTACAGTTCATTTCAGTGACGAGTCCAAGTTTACTATATTTGGTTCTGAGGGCAAAACTTACGTACGCCGTAGAACAGGTGAAAGACTGTCTTCTCAATGTGTCAAGAAAACCGTTAAGTTTGGTGGCGGCAGTGTGATGGTGTGAAGAATCATTTCATCTGCAGGAGTTGGCCCTATCATCCGCGTACATGGCAATATCAATACTGAGATTTACAAAAATTGCTTCTTCAGCAGCATATGGTACCAAGATTACACCATAATCTTTATGAATCTCCTATTTTCATGCAGGACAATGCACCTTTAGGCTTTATTTGGAGAAGAAGGAATCGCCCTAATGAAGCGGCCAGCCCAGAGCCCCGACTTGAATCCAATAGAAAATGTTTGGGAGATAATTGGAGAAAGGGCTCAGAAAAGAAACCCGAAAAACCAGGATCACCTACAGGAGTTATTGAAAGACGAATGGGAGGGAATTACTGCTGATTTTTGCAAGAAATTAATTAGATCATGTGGTCGACGATGCAGAGAATTCATTGAAAATAAGGGGATGTTTACCAAATATTAAATTTGTTGATATTTTGTTCACAATCTAGTATTAACAAGATCGTTCCTTAACTTTTGTCCAGTAGCTTATTTCCTTTGTTCCATTTAATCTTTATTAAAAAAAAAAAAAAAACTATTATGTAAATTTTTGTAACTTTGTATAATATTTATGCATCACACCCTAATCTTTATTGGTAAAAATTTCATTGCTAATCATGCATTACTTTTTAAGTAATACACATATTTATGTCTTTGTTGTTTCCGTTCCTTATATTATGGCCGCTACTGTATATGAAGGAATTGTTAGAGGTCAGGGTAAAAGAAAAAGTGAACCTTCTACTGGACTTTTTGGTTTAATTGTAGAGACCAGCGAATTTCTACTCATCTGTTACTTTTTTAATACATTTCTAAGGGTCAAAATGTTTTGCTATGTATTTTGCCGTTTTGTTAATAATTTTCAATTCTATTTTCGAACCATAACGTAACTCTCAAGGAGGCTATCCTATCAACAGATACATAATAACGGGGTAAGTTATTGCCATTTTTGTGAATGTGATCTGAATCGTGCAGTAGCTTCTGGCGGGGCCTTTGGATACTACGATGAAGTTTACGGCCGCGCTTTATGGCAATTCACCCAGGTAGATTTTTACTATTTGGGTTGTTGCTGAATCGCTACCTAGGTTCCTCACCTCCACATACCAAAATATGACACACGCAGTAGAGCTAAAGGCAGATCATCAATACGAAATGTAGACCCCCTCCAGTTCTCCATCTCCGATGCTAATATTAAGAGGTCTATGCTCCAACTCTAGAAGTTGAACTTTATATCTTCAAGAGGTAAAACCTAAGTGTGGAACCAGTCTATTCCAGTTCATGGATTTACAATCCCGGGCTACTCAACTCCACTCATTAAAAAAGATCCTTTAAATCAGGTGGCTATGGTCTTGGGGCCGATATCAAGTATGGATTACCCTGTGATAGAGACAGTAAAAAAACGGAGCGATTAGTCCATTCAAAGATATCTGATGAAAAAGGTAAATACTTTCTTGACTTCTCCATAGCTCATGAGTTAATCCAAATCGTAGTTAAGCCTTACTCGTATTTTTGTTATTGTTCGTCATCATGCTAACTTCTTCCTCACATCCTATTCTCTATCATTTCCGTTGAAATGTTGGGCACTTCATCACAAAACTGTAGTAGAGACTATCTCCATTTAATAAAGTAAAAAGATGAATTTAACGAAAAAAACAACGTCTCAGCCTTACAACTCTTAAATTTTGCTATTTTTGAAGTTCACTTTGAAAACAGTCACAAGAAATTCCTGCTCTCTCTCTCTCTCTCTCTCTCTCTCTCTCTCTCTCTCTCTTTACTTTTCAAACTGTTCTCTTTTAGCATCTGTCTTCTTTCCACAATGCTACAAAAAATCACATGTTGCTTTTAACAGACCTTATTTCGTTGACTTCTGAAAATAATATTTCATGTACACGTTGTATTTCCTAGTTTGATAATGGAAACAGAATACCACCAGAGGCTTTATTACAAAAATATCTTTCTCACATACAATGTTTTTTGGTAGGTACCAATGGGATGTGGATAAAAAACACATCAACTCGTCTTTTTCACTGAGTTGTATGAAGCAATAAAGAGGATTTGTTTATTAATTGGTTTTCTTAATTCTTTCATTTGATGCATTAAATGAGCCTTAGAATTAGTAATAATAACAAAAATGCAACATTTTCTTTTTTTCATCATTTCTCTTCAGACTTTGTACAAGATGCATATTCCTATGTCGTCTTTAAAAGTAAAATTCTTGTTTAGTGTCGTAGATTATATTCATGATTCCTGTTAGTTTTGACATTTTTCATCTTCTTAGGATTCTTTCTCTCCTCTCTCAAACGAGCTATGTGTTTTTCTTGAGAGTGTTTTGATTAACGAGTCTTTTCAACTGATTTAGTTAGGGATGGGATTCAACACCATCAAAGATAAGCAAGCACACCCACCAATCAGATCTCATTATAATAACTTTAATTTACTTTTGTCTAAATAGTAAGGTCGCATCGCGGGTTAGATAAGGTCAGTTTGGCAGCTGATCTACAAAATCACCTACAATCAATGGAATGGTTTTTTTTTTATTTTAACGCCTCTAAAACGAAAGAAATCGTCTGAGATAATACTTTCTATCTTCCATCAACATGGCTGATACTAGTTTCCAGGCGAGCGAGACGTTGCACTTTCTCGGTATAATGTTTTTCGCTGACATGAAGTAGAAAGATTATATTGAATCAAATGCTAGATCTGCTACTATGAAAATTTCTTCACTGTGTTGTGCTAGACATTTTTTTCGTTCGATTCCATTTTACATATCTATAAGTCTACCATTTGACCATGCTTTGAATATTGCTGCCACATTTGATCTCTTTAGAGATCATTGATAAAATACGAAGAATTTATAATGTTATTGAATTTGACCTGGCATCTCGGCTTCAGTCACTTTCCCACTTTCCGTTAAAGTAGATGTAACCGTAAGTTCTATGTTAACAGTTTCTTCTCTCGCACTACTCGCTTGTGGAACTCTTTCGGATTCCTGCTTTCCACCCATGATTTTGATCTTTAAAAATTTAAATGCAAAATCAATCGATATCTCCTGTCTTTTTAATTCTTGTTCTTTTATTGGTCTCGCCCCTTAATAATGTTTTACTTTTTCTTATTCTTTCACACTCAGTAACCTCCTGCGTCTTTCAGTGCCTTGCTTGGGGTGAAATAAAACAAAATATTTTAAATGTCATTTTGTTTTGAAGGAAATATGCCAAGATCCAAAGTTCTTTGTTGGTGGAGCTAGCAGATTTGATGTGAAGCAAGGAATGTTAGGTAAGTATATCGACTCTTATACCCTAGGTAGATAAGTAGGTAGGGGAGTTGTGATATATACGCTTACATCTTTATAGGAGCGTATATACCATAATGTGTGCGAAAAAGAAAAGAAATAGTAGAACTGCTTGCGAGAATATTTATTCAGAATGGAAAAAATCATGAAAATATACGATTAAAGGTAAGAATTTCAGTAAGAAATCATTAAAAAATATGCCCCTCATAGTATATATATATATATATATATATATATATATATATATATATCACAAGAGATAAGAAAAGTATGAGAGCAATTCAAATATTTTTAATGTAATTTTTAATTTAACCTAAATTTGAAATAAACTTAAAAAGAAATCGGTTTGTTTTGAATAATTCGACTTATTCATTTTAAACACACAAAATATAGAAGAAAATGTTCCCTGTAGAATTCATGAAGGTTGAATCGATATGACAGTGTGGAGTCAGTCTATCTGACTTTTAGTTGGAAAAAAAAAGATCCGAATGATGTCCACAAATTACATTACAAAATTATAAACAACGCAAAGAAATGATCTCCACAGAAAAGGAAGAAGACCAAGTTAAATATGGTAACTTTTTTTTTTTATAGTAGTGAATAGTATAGGATGTTTTATAAGGTAATATTAAAAAGAAAATCACCACAGGGCAGCATGCAATTTTTTTCTTTATTTTTTTTTTTTAAAGAATCTTTTCCAATATCAAAGTTTGTGTCTATCAATTGAGCAAAAAGCGAAAATGTCCCAGCTTTTCTTGCATCACGCAATGACTTCAAACTCTACGTTAGCAGATTAAAAGACAATGACGCGTAATCCTTGAAAGAGAGAAACAACAATTTTGGTGATTTAAATTTCCGAAATCTTTTTCTATACGTAAAAAGGGTTGAAAGAAGATGCATAGGTTTATTTTTGTGCAGGGCTCGGTAGATTTACCTTAGTCGACTATTTAAAAGATCTGCGCATTTTAACATGAAAGGAAAACTGTTTTGTCATTTTGCACCAGTTTTATGATTCTCCGCTTACTGTATATATACGTACGAACGCCAGTCATAATGTGAGGTACTTATCTGAAATACATATCGTAGGCATTTCATCTTTTCTTCGGGAACCCAGGCAGGTGACTGATGGTAAAAAAAAACTCGAAACTCAAGTGTTCGATGAGGACATTTTCACTATTTAGCTAGTGTAGCGAGAGATCAAAGGGAGAAGAAAGATTAACATTTTCCTTTCTTTTCTTTCTTTTTTTTTTTTTTTTTTTGATGTTCATCTAGAATGTAGCGTCGTTATTTTTAGAGATTTTATGGTTGCTTTTTGTAAACAAGTTCTGTTAATATGTCATAAGAGGAGAATTAAGCCCAAACACGAGAGAGATAGATCCGAGCAGGCCGAGACAGCTTTAAAATGGAATTTTAAAACGCATAGTGATTTTAAGGGATAGTTTTTTAAAAGTGAATTAGAAAGATCTCTGTGTCCCGTAAATAATATTCAAATTCCTAAGCTATAACATGTCTATCCATGAATTTTAAACTTGCAAGTGAAGTATATATATAGTTCATTTTTATGCAAATATAGTTCAAGCCTGTTTTGAACCATTTCTCTGACTGCTGAATACAGTTCTAGATTAGTTAAAAAATGTACCTCCGCTATTCAGAAACTCTTCCTGCAAACTTTCCAGAAGCTGGGAAAGAGGGTGTCTTTCACCAGATCTGAAGTTTTAAACCTGCTTATCTCCGAAACATTCACATCGCCTGAGTGCGTTAGCAATAACAATGATAGGCTTGATGTGTTCCAGAATCGAATTGGTAAGAAAGAAAAAAAAATTAAGTTTAGCCTGGGTCGATTTCATTCAAGAAAATTTCTGATTACGAACGGACATGGCACAAGATTAGAATCGCGTTTGCTCTCCATATTCTAAACATTCAGTTCACATTCAGAAAAATAAAATAAACTGATCAAAGCAAGATAAACTACTATATGACTGCTACATATTAAAATTTCAAAGGGTTACGGCCATATCACGTTAAAACATCGGTTTCTATACGATCACCGAAGTTAAGCAACGTCGAGCCAGGTCAGTACCTAGACGGGTAATCGCTTGAGAATATCAGGTGCTGTAAGTTTGGATGTGCAGGTGATGTAATGGTTAATGGCTCGGAAATGTTAATCGGAGAGCCAAGTTGTAATTTCTGTTGAGTTCGTTATATTCACTTATATGCAAATAACTTTGCGACCGGCCATCAATCCCCACCTCTTCTCCCCCCCCCCAGCTATGGGTTAATTAGTAAGACTTGTATCACTAAATCATTATTATGTAAAAAAAAAAAATTCTTAAAATCTAAAACTATCTTCTAACAAAGGTTTTGATAAATCATAGAAAATGAATCAATAAACAATAATAAAATTTCAGGATAACAGTTGATGTAGGATTAGAAAATAATATGGAATTTCACTAATACAATCTCCGTTCACGAATTCTGGGATAAAATTTCATATGAAATGATAACAGTCCGACTGTAATTGTGAAACACCCTCCCCTGGTCGTTGAAGACTTCCAACACCGCGACTGATCGATGAAGATCGTTTCGATCTCAGACCTGCCCTATCCTACGTTGTGATTTAAGTTTGATCATAAGGCGGACAATTGTCGCAGGTATCTATGTGTTGGGACGTACAGGGGGAAAAAAAACACTCGAATAAATTGAACAAAAAGTAAATACTGTTTTTATATGAGCCCTTGGTACAATAATTCGTTATATCATAGTTTGTATGCAATTAGTTATCAGCCCAACCCACGTCTAAATCGGAAGTGATATTATTGTTGATCTGGTAAAGTTTGAGTTGCTGTTTTGGTACAGTTCGGCGCAATGCTGAAGTCGGGGGGGGGTCTCTTCAGCAGGCAATCACGTGTGTGTATCACGACCGGTGGCTGGGACGAACTCTCTACCGTCTCTCTCCTGTCTCTGTCTCGTCTGCCTCTCTTCTGCCGATTTTGCTTCACGTAATCGTATTTATTGGCATTCGCTCAAACTGGCCAAATAAGAGAATTCGATAATTCTGAGGAATTCCATTCTTCCCCTCTCTCATATTATTACCTCTCACTAACCCTCCTCGGTGAGCGTGAGTGGCTTATCCTCCCCTCCTAGTGTTTCAACTTTTGACCAGGGGAATCAAATTCAAATTCATTGTTTACGAAAAATGAAATTTTCGCTTTACTTCTTGCATGTGTCGCTGTGTGTCACTCAACATTGTCCCCTAAGACACTGAGTCACTTTTCCATTGTTCAAATTGCTCGACATACAATTCCACGGGTTTTTGGCATTAACACTGCTCGTTTCAATGTCTCTCAGCACATAACACTTTCTATTGAGAAGAAAACTTACTTAGGTTTTTTGATTTTAACGCGGTAACAACAAATAGTATCAGAGACAAATAAATCACATTTGCTACCAGTGGTTCCCAAATGGTGCGGCGCAAGAGGATAGCATGTGAGGCGGAAGGGGATAGCAGGTGAGGCGGAAGAGGATAGCAGGTGAGGCGGAATGATTGAATGACAATCAAAGATTTAGGAACAGTATCAAAAAATTCATATACCAAAAATAAATATGATTTCAAAATTTAAAATATTATGGATTACATGTAATTGTATGCATAAGTCCCAGTATAAATTGTTATAAATAATTATTGACTGATTATATTATTGTGATATTTTTGCATTATAACAAGTTTTAAGAATTTAGTAACTTGGCTCTGCAATTTGTAGAAGAGAGTTATCAATAATAATGTTCTGACTTTGAATCCGTGGTTATCTTCATTTAACCCTCTCTCTGTTTATTTTTTTTATTTTTGTGAGGTAGGGGCAAATTTTCATTCCGAAAATGCGGCTCCGAGAAAAAAGTTTGGGCCTCGGACAGTTTATTGTACTCAGCTCTCCCACCAATTACAAATAACCTCAATGTAATTATATATATATATATATATATGTGTGTGTGTGTGTGTGTGTGTGTGTGTGTGTGTCAGAGAGAGACTGAGAGGTAAATAAATCATAAACGGGCAGGAACTACCAATCTTCAGTGGGAAATGCAAAGATGTTTGCTTAAACCACGAGAAATATTTAAACTGTTACAAATCATCCTAATGCTAAGAGGAGGGAGAATGTATTATGTGCGCAAATATGATTATTCATGCAAGGGCTAACTGAGGAAAATCACTTTTGCCTCTTCCATAGGTGATTGCTGGCTGCTTGCCGCTATTGCATCATTGACAATCAACAAGAAAGTTTTCTACCGGGTCGTCCCGCCAGAACAGTATTTCAACAAAAACTACACTGGTTGTTTCCGCTTCAATTTGTGGAACCAAGGAAAATGGGTCGAGATATTGGTTGACGACAGGTTACCCACACAAAATGGCCGTCTCATCTACATGCACTCGGTCGATGAAAATGAGTTTTGGAGTGCACTTCTGGAAAAAGTCTACGCAAAGTAAGCAAATACTTTTATCGTAAAGTTATTAAACAATTTGATTTCCCCGACCATTATTTTGTTTGTTTTCTAATTTGTTTTTGACTTCACTCGAATCGGGACGTCTTTTTGCATATGTAATTAAAGATTTCTATCTTTATATTTTTCTAGATGAGTCATATTTCTAAATTTGTGTTTCTCACTGAATCCTTTCCTCTCCATTATTTTTCTTTTCTTTATCTACCCGGCGTCTCTATTGTTTCTATTTAGACTGAATGGTTCGTATGAATCGTTGAAGGGTGGCAACACTTCAGAAGCCATGGAGGATTTTACCGGGGGTATTACAGAGCAGATTGATTTGAAGGATCCACCGAAGAAACTTTTTGGTATTATGCAAAAAGCTTTCCAAAGATGTTCGATGATGGGATGCTCAATCGATGTAAGTACATCATATGCTTATTCTTACACACAATAAATTTTGTCTTTTTCTTATCTCTGCTACACATTGTTCCGCCACCCATTTACTCAATCACGCTAGGTAGGTTATGCATTGTCTCTCTTGCTTTCAATCTGTCCTGTGAGTATCAAATTTTCCATGCCCTCTTTTCTCATTATGTATAAGTATCCTTTGCTTCCATTTTCTCTAAAACATTTTCGATCAATATTCTCAGTATCCTTCTGTTGACATTTCTGTTGCTTCAAGTCTAAAAAAATCACACAAAATTATATCGCTGTAGATACGCTATTATTTTTATAATTATATTCGCAACAAATTAAATATCTAAAAGGTATATTTGTATGTATATATAAAGTGTCTTCATATTTTTTAATTTCACTTTATATTTTCATTTATATATGAAACAAAATCTGGTTTAACTAAAGGGCAAATCTGCTGACTTTTGAGATATCCAATTGTCATAGATTAATTTAATGATTATTATAATAACGGGTAACAGTCAGTCGTATTGACTCGTGTTACGTAAAAAACGGTTGCAGATACATTGCTTTTAATTAGTGGAAATTATGTACAACAGAACATATCATTTTAGTTAAAGAGAACGCTTATTTTTAAAATCCTACAGTAATATATATATATATATATATATATATATATATATATTGTGTGTGTGTGTGTGTGTGTGTGTGTGTGTGAGTTATTTATTTTCTTTTAAAAATCCATTTAATAGGAATTTATATGCATCATTGATATGCCCACGTCTTTTTCTTGATCATTTAATTTGTTTTGTTCTCAACTTGCCTATACGAAATGCCACCATCACGTACACATAAGCAAGTTATGTGTAGCAAATTGTGTCAAATAAAAGTAATAAAACTATAATTATTTCATGATCATTTATGTGCCCAGTTTCTATATACAGGAAAAAATAAAAGAAATACAGAACAAAATAAAGTTATTAAGAATTTATAGGCAAACTGCATTTATAAAATTACTTAAATATTGGTGGTATTTTTTTCTGGTACGGAAACCTGTTTTTACCGTAAAATACGAGATTGTATGAATACATTATGGTTATACAAGTATAGACATGTAAGCGTAATGTATATGTATGAGCATGCATGTGTGCCCATTGATCGTTTCCCGCGCTAATATAACGAAATTAATCCGACTCATTAAATCTTCATTTCTTTTCTTTTTTTCAATGCATCATTTGTTCTTGATGTAGAAAAAATAAATTTAATCACCAGAATTAGAAAAGAGAAAAAAAAAAACAATCTGTAATAAAACCGTCTTAACTTAAGCTACGAATCTTTACACGGAAAATAAGATTATCAATTGATTCATCCATATATTGATCTTATTATTTGTAAGTTAAACCATGTTCTTTTCTGATGGTGGAGTTTCTTGATAGGGTCACCAGTGAAGCAGACAAACTATCCCCAAATAGCGAAAGAAAAAGTATTTTCTTCGGTAGTATGATCTGTCGAAGATGACCAGATTGTTAAACCATTTATATAAATTAGATGAAAATGTACAGCAGGGAACTACATAACCACACAATTGTAGTCCTTAAGTCAATGTCTGAACCCAGATAGAGAAAGGCAAAAAGCAAACGAACATCAACAAATACACTGAGAAGCTCTCCAAGATGTGATAAACTTTGAAAACTAGACCAACGTGTGACAGTTGTATAACCATATATTGAATTAAAATTTCTGACTTTGCAAGGATTTTAGATGATACTGTCCCGAATTTAAAAGTCTTCTGAGGTCATTTTGAGGACAAATGAAAAGTGTTAGTCGAAGAATCACTCGGGGTCAGACGTTACTTTTAATAATTCACCTTTTGTTGAAGTCACTAATACTGAAATCCCGTTTTTTTTTAAGCTGTTGTCTATTCGATGCAAAAAAAAAAAAAGTCAGCCAAGAAAAGATAAAAGATAAATCCCCCAGCGGCATGTATAGTCACTAGGGACGTGCAATTCGTGTAACGTTATTTTCGCTGTCAAATAAGCTAATCTGATGGTCGCGGAAATTTCAAATGTCCGTCTGTAATTTGCTCAAACTAGTATTGTTATTGGTATTGTAGGCGTTGAGGTAATAGGGTAGGTTGATTTTTCACTTTTTTCAAAAACTCAATACTGCACTCGGTATGAAAGCTAGGGTTTTACGTGATAAGTAACGATACTAAAAATTAGATTCATAACTTTTACCAACTTTTGAGCAACAACAGAAATTCCGCAAATTTTTGCTTATAAACTGACTTCAAAATTTGACTATTTCAAAAATAAATCCAAATACAGTTGATATTTTTGTATTAAATCCATTGAATGGAAAATATATTCAAACCAGAATTCTAATTATGAATCACTACAATCAAAATACGCAGTTTTTTTTTTACAGTATTCGATAAGTAAAAGCTGTAAAAAAAAAAAAAAAATTGTAAAAGATTACAAAAAATGCTACTCAATGAATAAGACTTGTTAGATCATGAGTAATAAAAACAAAAAATAGATGAAAATGTCTATAACACCCTAATACTGCTCGGCACAAATTATAAGACAAAATGTTTTAAATTTGCATTGAGGTAATGTCTCTAGTTAGACTAAATGTAGTGCCAGCAATATTTTGTACATATAAATGACGGGTGTAAGGAAATGGAATCAATTTCAATGAGGCCATATTTTATATTTTGAAATCTGAGTAAAAAGTAAGTAAATGTGGGCGTGCGTGAACTAAGAGGAAAGATGCCCCCATGCCCGGAAACAAGGACCCAGTGGTGTTGTTGTAGTGAACAAAACAAGATCTAGATTTAAAATTCAAATGCTAATCACTGACTCATTGATTTTGTTAGAAATTAAAAAGATTCGAATTTACAAACTTTGCTTAACACACACGCAAAAGCGAATCAAAAACAAAACTCGTGAAATTTCACACGTTGATGTGAAATGTTTTTCAGCCAATAGAAAACTAGGAAACATTTAAAAACAAAATTCAAATAATCTTCAATTCTCAGAAACAAATTCTTTTACGGAGATTTTTACGTCAAGCGATCGTTATTATTATCTCTACGTTTCTCCCTCACCTCTTTTATACTTGATAAACGAACGGAACATTTTAAGACTGAGCGATTACTTCAAAGACATTCCTACCCTACGATAACGCTCATACATACATACATACACACATACGCTCCCGCCTACGTACACATAAACTCATTCTTGCAAGGACTACTACGAACATTTTGACGACCTTGTATCACCCAAAATGCATTAATTTTATTTGTAAAGACCTAAATTGATTTATATGTATATAAATTTGTTGTTTCACTGTACTATTTGATTTTCTTGTTTTACACCCCCTCTTATGATGGGCTATCTAACTAACAAGGCCAAATCAAACTAATCTGTTTCAACACTCATACACTTCACTATTACTGATAACCCACTATATTGTCACTGAAGCATGATGGGAGAAAAAGAGAGAGTACGGGATGTCCCGATTTTATAGCTACTCGACAGCGCCCTCTAACAACTTCTTGGCAAAACTGGCGAAGCTATATGGAAGTAATCCACAGTATATCTACGATAGTCATGTAGAGACGGATACACTGTTTCGCTCTTAATCAGTTTCCTCCAACCCATATTTGTCAAATTATGAAACAAAAGCCAACATAGTGTGTTACTTACGTATTCAGACTACTCGAAGTAACGTCCTCTTCGCTACACGTACTTGAAAAGCACCAGAATGTGCGCTGATAATTTGATATTTTATAACAGAGTTTTCTTAATATCAGATTTCACTCAAGTAGATTTTGCTCTTAGCGACGAAAACCAAGTAAGAACTAACGGTGACACATAAAAGGGTCAATATGTGTGAGATATGTTGTAACATTCGTAGATAGTGATTACAAAAGAGATTAATAAAGTGAAACCTACTTTTTAGTTTAAAGTATTATTTTCTTCGTGTTTACGGCTTCAGAGGAGAAAACTGAAAATCTTAAATTCAGAAATCATTAAAAAAAATTCTTACTACAAATTTGCTTATTAAAGAAATAAAATTTGCTGAACCTCACCATTATACCCAGTAAGAAATTCAATTATTTTCCGTCGACTTTTGTAAATTAAAAACATTATGTTCTACAATAATGTATTCAAATCTTTTCACATGAAACCAGGCTGTTCCAGGACAAACTGAAGCCAAATTATCAAATGGTCTAATTTGTGGACATGCCTACAGTATCACAGGCCTCAACATGGTAAGTATTCTTAATAATACGCTTCATCAAAGGACAAAGCTGTTTGTAGATGTGCAATAAAGTAATTCATTTTTTTTAAACATTTCAAAACCCTTCGTAAAAGGAATAAACTAATGATTTATTGTAAAATTATTTCTCATTTAAGAAGAGTTTTTAAATCCGCAAATCATGTTCGACGATAAAGAAAAAATTGAATTTCATAAATTCATTAATTTAAAAAAAAAATTTTTTTGGCTTTCTAGTAAGACAAATAGTTTTGTTTTCTGCGATGCGGAGATGAAAAAAATGATTGTTGCCAAATTGAAATTGCAAGTTTAACTTGTATATGAAAGACTGGCAAAAATTTACAACTTAAAAAACAAGAACAAAGATGTTCAGTAGTTTTTTTAAAGAACGTTGTAAATTTTTACATTTATCTATCATCCGGCGTGTTTTGCATGTTATTCTTAACGATTATTATTATCAGTATTTATAATTTATTATTTTATTTTTTCATTTTCGAAATATCTTGTCGCATTTTTTAATCTGCATGCATTTTCTTTTTCTTTACTGTCAGGTCGATGCCAGGGTGAGTATAGTTTTACTTAAAAGCAATTCATACATTTTATTTAATCCAATCTTTGAATCGGCCATCAAATAATTTATAAAAGTCAATTTTTTTCTTACTGAATTGTATCTTCAATATAAAGTTCCATATAAACTAGCAGATAATGCATAACACATTCACTTCGTAAATTGAAAACCTTTTCACAAGAAGAGACAAGAAAAACGAATACGGTTTGCTATACAAGTTTTTTTTTGTATAAAGTTCTTGAATTGCTTAGAATTATTCAGTAGATAGTTATTGATATAGTTAGTACTACAATTAAAAAATAACAAAGACAAATATTGTATTTAGAACCAAAATTAAAATGTTAGCCAAAAAAATGTTACTATTTTTATTCTTAGAAAAATGCAGGAATTGTTTCATTCTCTTTAAAAAAAAAAAAGTCTGTCTGCGTAAATGTAGAATATACATGACAAAGAAAGATTACAATTTTCGAAAATGACAAAAAATACCTGAGAAAGCAAAGCAAAAAATTAGATAAGTCAGAAAATACAAGAGGTGCAGCCACTTCATTTGTAAAACGGAATAAGAATGTACGAAAGAGCTTTGATAGATTTAAAATGGTTGATGTCTAGGGGCTTTTTATATTTTCCTTTTACAGAAAAGTTCAGTTTAAGCTTTCACTTCCTTTAAAAATGTCTCTCTGGAAACAGCCCAAATGCATTTTCCCCCGAATATCTGCCTTTCCGGTTGAAATTTTAGTCTCCGTTCATCTTGGTGGTTCCTTCACCGTAGAGAGATTTATGGCTCCCTTCTGCTTTGACACTTCCTCCTGACTTAAAATCTGAGTACTTTCTACCTTTCTTTGGCCGTCAGTCTCCCTTTATAAGAAAATGGGAGTCTCTCAGAGACCTTAATTTTACGGGCGTATGAGACCACAATATATATATTTCCAAATTCAAAAAATGAATCCACAACAATTCATATAGAAGAAATAATCTTCGTGCTTCTTTAATCGCGTTAATTTTAAAAATAGAAATTCAAACAATTGTAATATTTTTCCCCAGACCGTCTGGCATTCTTTAATATCTATTTACACGTTTTAATTTATGATTAAATAATTATTTTGCACTACTAAAATATAAAATATTTATAGAATGGCTCAATAACAAATGTGAAGAAAGAAAGAATATCAAATACACGAGGTGTACATAAAAAAAAACTTATAGTAGAGTCATCTTTGAAGCGCTGCCTAAGAAACCAGGTGCAAATGAATGAACTCCATCGCACAATCAACTAAATGAGCCACAGAACGAAGCCTATCCGAATTCTAATGAATATAGCACGTAGCAAAATAGTGCGGTTTCGTTGAAGGCACTGAAACAAGAAATGCAATATTTATTATCAGAATTATATCAAAGAAAGCAATACAAATGCAAAAGTATGTATACCCAGGTTTTATAGACTTGTAGAGGACCGTGTCTACGATGTTGTTGACTAGATGTAGAAGAACACATGTGGGGTTAAGATTTTCCTGCTAGCCGGTCCAACTACATGAGAAAGTTGGACTTTAATTAAGTCCAAAGAAGGCAAAGAAAAACAAACACAAGACCGATATGTAAACAAATATATGTATTAATAACAAGAAAGGTTACAAGTTACATGGACAGAGTGCGTGTGGTGAATATTATGCGTGTGTGTGTGTGTTGTGATGAGTGTTCGTACGTACGTGTATTGTGCTTAGCGTGTTCCCAGCATTTGGGGAAACGCTGTCTCTGTTAGCGTTCACATCTGCGAGATGGTAAGGCTGAAAGCCTGAGGAAAAAGAGGAAGAGGCGAAGGGTCAGCGAGTAATTATAGCCCGGGGAAGAGAGACCCCTGGTGAAACGGTTAACGAACTAAAGGAGGAGCTAACTCCGACAGACTACGCAAAGATCTATTTGAACTGCAAGGAAAACTTGACTTATTTAGGAAAGATATTAGAATAATACAGAATATAATACTGAGAGTAAACCGTCTGCATACGGATAGAAAATGAATTAAGTACGCAAAAATAGAAAAGGACGTAAGACAAGAAAGTATCTTCTCATCGAATTTAACATTTACAACAAAGCAATCCTCAGAGAATTAGAATATCTACTAGGATTATTATTGGCGGGTATAAGGATAAGCAAATATTGTCTTCTTCGGCTGTTAAATTTCTAGTAATATTCTTTTGTTTAGAAATTCTAATATGAAATATTTTCTTTATTGCATGGATTTTATTAGGATTTTTTTACTGTTTTTTCATCTCCTCTTTTTTTCATCAGAAAATTTCTGTAAATTTAAGTTACTTACTCTCGCCATATTCACCCTCCTTTATATTTCGTAAGAAGAGCATGGACCCTGACCGTGGCTAATTCAGGTCACAAATGTCAGTTAATATTCGTTAATTTACGGTAATATTTTGTGATATAACATTCTTTAGTATTAAAATAAAATCATCTTCAAATAATATTTTTACAGAATTAATACTCAACTTTATTTTATATGAAATCAATGTTTTATAAATTGCTAAATAAATTTATGTAAGTACGTTATAAGAATTAATTATAGTATAATATTTGTATGTCGAATCTGAACATAACATAAAATTGACACATGAAATGCAAAAAGTTTGCCAATTTGCCAACTCCCCACGCCATACAAAAAAGTTTCGTTATGCTTGCTCAAATCTCATTTCATTATTTCTCATGTCTTTAAAATTATTTCCAAATCTTTCTTAATATTCTGCGTTCCAGAACGGTCTGAAAACACCTAGTATTAATGGCAAGATCCTCATGGTAAGGATCCGTAACCCTTGGGGAGAAAGCGAATGGAATGGACCGTGGAGTGATCAGTAAGTACCATTATTCATTATTAGAGCTTAATTTACACGGAATATTAATTGCCGATTTCTCCTGTAGTCGGCATTAACAAAAAGAAGCGACAGTGTGACGCAAATCTGTTTTTCCTTTTTAAAATTCATCACTCAACACAACGAGAGTTGAAAAATATTCCTGAAATTTTCTCGACTTTCGAAAAACACAAATATGAACGCCTAAAATGTAGAGATGTGAATGAAAAACAAGAGAACAAATCTCTCTTACGTTCATCATTGTTAAACTTGATGGTTGCTAATGTTAATTTTCATTGTTTTTCTTAGATCACCCGAATGGCGTTTTATTCCCGATCATGAAAAGAAAGACATGGGTCTAATAAATGACGACGACGGAGAATTTTGGTTTGTATTTTTCTTAATTTATCTTCAAATCTTATCAATTCCTGGCAGCTTTCATACATGTTGATACTAAATTTAATTCAATTAAACAGTTTTTATATGCTTCTTTTAAAATCCTTTGATTATCGATAAAAGTTTTTAACGGATACGTATCTTCTTTGCATATTGCCTTTGCATTTATTGTGCAATTGTGTAATTTTCTTTTTTTTTCTTTTTTTTTTTTGGTATTACCTGACATGATTACAAACACTCACTAAAACTACCAGTTTCACTGTCACGAAAGAGTAAATCCAACAAAAAACAAAAAACAAACAAACAGCACGCTTCCTGTCGTTGTTGGGCGTATAAACCCTAAGGAGACCAAATGATTTGTCTTTCTTTTATCATGCAGTGCGCAAAAGCAAGCGCATAAGTCACCTTCAAAGAACGGCATACCAACCAAATTTCGGATGATTATCAAAATAGTCACTTGCAATAAAATGCGCTGAAGATAATGAATAAACGCAGCCTTTTTAGACATCTTCCTCCGCCATTCAGTGTAACTATCGGTTTACTGGGGGTTACTCAACCGAGAAAACCCCGCCACAGGTGGGGATACCGGTGGCTTGTCTCAAATTCTTAGCCGGTCTCAGAATAGATATAATCCTGTATCTCGGGAATGTTAGCTTTACAACCATGTAAAAGGAAGACGAATAATTAAAAAAAAATCTGGCAAAAAGCTTCTGATCATCAACGTCCAAACAGGAATGACGTTGAAGGTTTGCCTATCGATCATTATATCGAAACGTCACTCTACGTATTTGGTCCGGACTGACAGTCACAAATTTCTCATGTTATCGGAAACCCTCTGACTGTGTTGGCCGTGACATTCGATTTTCAATGTTATCTTTATTCTATCATTTCTTGGTCAGGGCTACAATAACCCACAAGAGAAATATTTTCTTTTCACGGCTTGCAGAACAAACACACACAAACACGCTCATACACCATCCGAAGTGTCCACCTCACGAATGTAGCGATCGGAACCTCGACGTATTTCCTCCTTGCACAATTTTGCACTCATGCTCCCGACTTCGTTAGACATTTTGTTTGTCTGACTAACTTACCCCGGTAGTGCTCGCTAACCAAATAATCCAAGGCCTGTTTGGCTAAACTTTTTTCTAGGGTATCCCCCCTTGCCTTTGGGCAAGTCGTTGTTTAAATTCAGTGGTAAAAGATCTAATCCTATCTTTAAGGTTCTCCCACCAATATTCTCAATAACCGCCTCAGTAACAACCACTGTACCAATCTAGTCAGCTGTAGTCGGAAGTCCTCCCTGTCCAGTAACAACAAGTTGAACTTCCAGTGCCCAGCCATTCTAGGACTAGTGTCTAAAGCCATTCGGTCATAAACAAGTTTGTGTTCTGAATAGCCTAATCAGTGGAATGTGGGATCTAGCCGATCTAAATCGACCCTTCTCGCTAACATTCTATCCAGGTAGCTGACTACCCGTGTAGAGGGTCAATTAAGAGCCCATGTCCACATCTCCCGCCCAGGGTGATTGACCCGTTAACTATCGACGAGACCAAATTCGTCGATCAGATCGACTCGGCTACGATCACGCAACCTCCCGCTAGCTTCCCAGTCCCCTATCTAACTTGTGGTCCAGGAGGCAGTCCGCCGTTAAAACTAGGCGCGCCGGATCTACCAGAAATGGCCCCCAACTGACGGAAGAACGAACAATGCTCCGTCTGGTCGTTGGGCACATAAACCACAATGACCCGAAACGAACGATTTTTCACGGCAATATCGGCCCTCACCCCACTATCGACATGAACAAGGTCCACCCTCATGCCCAGGGTACGGTTCACCAGCAAGGAAACATCTCTGGTCCGCCGGTGCCCGTATGCTAAATAGATAACAAAGTTGTTAGACAACACGCGAGCATCGATGTCGCCTGCATCGCAACCACATCCAAATCGAAAGACAGAAGATCACGAAGCAGGCGGGTCGCTTTACTCCGATCCCTCAAACCCCTCGCATTCAAACATGCCAACTTGTTAGCCATTTTCTGGGCTACCAGGGCCCATGTCGGACGTAATCCGTCCATCTTTAACAATACCGCCTACGTCCGTCGGAAAAGTTATATTTACATCCCTATATAAAGTGGGATGGAGAAAAAAATGAGCCCTACCCGAATAATGTTTTGAAAGTCTTGTGAGCCTAGGCAACTCAACCTGAGCCATTCTGAACTTCTTTTGCGGTAGATATCAGGTGCCATACCTTCAATCTCCCTCCAGAGTTCCTAATGAGGGTGCCTCAGGAAAGTTCCAGGCGTCCTCTGTGGACTTCCCGTCAACAGTAGTACATTTAAAGAGGACCTTCTATGGAAGGACAGGTCCCCCTCGCCTCCAGCCTGTCCACTTTACAAATGTTTTCCACTTTAGGCTCTCTTTTTTTTGCGATGGGCTGTGGAGGGAAATGGCGGAGCCCTAGTGGGAGAGGAAGGCTCTTTGCCTTACCTTGTGAAGCTACTGGTACCCCTTCTTTTCTTGCTGGTGAAGCAGGGACAGATTGTGCCATGGTCTTCTCTTCCTGCTGGTAGCTTCCTCTCTCTCTCTCACCTTCTTATGCCAAGAGGATCTAGGAGGAGGCATATCCTATACTTCCATCAGCTGCTCTAAATACGGTCAGGTCTGGGCTGATCAGGAAAAAGAAAATGCTAGGTCATTTGACACTTCAATGGAATAAGCCATTTTTACCATAGGATCAGTCAGTTATGTGACATGCGTGATACACGCGTAGGCGATCATGTATCTTTCGATACATGACTGACGAGGCATATTTTTTCCGCAGTAGGTTGCCATTTCCATGGCTACAGAACCCGGTCTGACCCGCTATTTACCCATCCATACCTTTCCCAATGATATTAGCACGTAAGTGAATGTAATGGATTCCTCAATCCCATCTGATATCCATTACTCCACAGAGTACAAATGGAACTCGTTACTTTTTTTTTATATAGAGTAGTGGTAGTAATTTATATAGAGTAGTACAAGTAATTAGCTGATTTTCTTTTGTATACTGACTTCTGATTGGCCAGAGTAATGTAGTGTTTTGAATTTCAATTTTTTTTTTAATATTAACAAAACACATTTCTTTCAGTATCGACTTAAACTTAAAGTAATAACAATACTAACCGATTAAATAAAGCGCATTTGAGATGTATTCAGGAAAAACACGGATAAAAATGAGAATTATTAGATTTTAGGCATCACAATAAAAATCTCTTTCTGTTTTTTAGGTACCGTCAAAATTTGTGCTAAAAAACTCTAAAACGCATTTAAAATAATTTAAATGTCTCCTTTTTAGTAAAATTTTGATTTTATTTGATGGTTAAATTCAAGTAGATCCATTTCCATAACTTGCTTAAGAAACCAGATGCAAACGAATGTGAACTCCATCTGACTATTAGCCTAAAAAAATTATGATCTCTATTTTAATGACTAGAGCACGTAGTGGAAGTAGACCGAAAATAGGACAATATTTTGTTAAAGAAACTGCATCAAGGAATGATATGAGAAAGAATGATGCAAAAGGGTGTATATATATTTAATAGATTACGCAAACGTTTGATAAAATACGTCACAAAGAACTGTTGGAATTGTTAGGTAAGCTGGATATATTTAGGAAGGCTATTTAGAATAATCCATAACATATACCTGGAGCAAAACCCCTTAATCTGCATACGAATAGAAAATTCTGTAAATATACAAAAATGGAGGTGTAAGACAAGGATGCGTCTTCGCACCGAGCTTTATAGTGAGGTGATTTTGAGAGAATTAGCAGTTCTACCAGAATTCATTAGTGGCAGCCACAATCTTAACAGCATAAGCAGATGACACAATGTTGATAGAAGATATAAAAAAGAAAATACAGGATCTCCTACAGAATGTATGGTTGTCTACACGCGAATTACAAATTGGAAATGCCAAAATCAAACAAATACAAACATTTAAATATCTAAAAAGTGTTTTAACAGAGGGCGGAAAGGGCAACACTGAAATCCGTTGAAATATATCTTCCAAAATTTGAACATGTGGGCAATGGCGAAGTTTTAGAGAAAATGACACTCAATTTGACACTTAAAGAACATTTTGAAGTCAAGAGAGATAGAGGAAAACAACGCATAACCTACCTAGTACTGCTTGAGTAAATGGGTGGCAGAACAAGGTCTAGGGGAGGTAACATAAAGAAAACATTTTCTAAGAGCCACAAAAGACAGGAAATTGTGGAAAGTCATGATCGCCTATATCCTGAAGGTAGGCTATAGGCTACGGTTGATTTTCGTTTCATTCCGTGGACATAAAATTTATATGAAAAGATTTTACTTGATTTCGGGAGTTTCGATGCCGTAGAGTCTAAATCTAAAACGTTTTCCAGGTGAGAATTGCGCATTTTTTATAAATTGCATTTTAAATTGAATATTTTATCGGTAAATCTGAGCATAAAAAATCAAGTAAGGGAGGTAATAATTGAGTAAATATGACGTTTCTTAGGCCAGTAGTTATCTCCCTTAAATTCAAAAATTTTAAAATACGGCGAAAATGAATTCCCCGAATATTTGTGCAATACATTTTAAGTCAATACGAATGAAAAAATTATTTCTTTTACTGAAATAACTCTTATGTGGCAAAAAGAGTAGGCCCTTTTCTACCTTCAGTTTCAAATGACAGCATTCAAAATGCTTTATTTAAATCATTTTGTGAGACCATTACTGATTTGGCTATGACCATGATCAATATGCACTGTGAAAGTGACAACCAAAACACTACTCCAATTCCAGGTTGGACAGGTTTCAATATTCTTTTATTACAGGACCAAATACCACCAAAAAGCAATATTGGATATTTGTCTGTGGTCAATGGTAACCCAACTCAACTAAGTACTGTGAATGCAGTATTTTTGAAAAGTCTTGCTATTGCTGATGAGCTTGAAACTGAATGTATTGTATTAACATTTGATCTTGCATTTTACGCTAAAGCACAGCAAGTACGTTGGAATGATGCCATGTATATGCAAAAAACAGTTGTCAGACTTGGTGAGTTCCACACCTGCATGTCGTTTCTCAGTGTCATTGGAAAGCGCTTTGAAGATTCGGGGCTAGCTGATGTCCTACTTGAAGCTGAAACAGTGGCACAAGGATCACTACCTGGAGTCATGAAAGGCAGGCACTATAATCGAAGTGTCAGTCATAAAAATTATGTCTGAAGCCTTAAGGAGGGAACTCCTATCTATTTTTATTGAAACACAAAGTGAAGAAGAAAAAGCTAAATTTATTGCATTGTCTCTAAAAATTTATATTATGCTTTTCCCAAAACACAATTCCAAGATCTCTGCACATCAAATGATTTTAAAGAGTTTGAAAGCAAACTATCGTTATTTATTTAAGAGAGATGCAGCCAATTTCCAACTTTTGCATTTTGGATGAGTTACTTGAATATGGCAGATTTGTTTTTACATTTTATTCGTGCTACACGAACAGGAGATTGGGCCCTTCACCTTAAATCAGCAGCAGAAATGGTACCTTGGTATTTTTCATATGACCATGTGAACTATGCTAGATATCTTCCTGTTTATATCTATAAGATGCTTGCTGTTGCAGATACCCACCCTGCAATAGCAAAGCATCTTGCTGCTGGGGATTTTGTTGTTCAGCAACAAAACCAGTACCCCTTTAGTCAGACGGCAATGGACCAGACGATTGAACAGACAATGAATAGAGATAGCAAGACCAGAGGTGGGCAGATTGGATTCTCAAATAATGACAATGCTGTTCATCGTTGGATTTTATCTTTTAATCAACGTGCTCAAATCTCTAAAAACTGTACTGAAATGGCTGGAAAAGGAGAGGGCTGCCATAATAAAAAAGACCTGAGTAGTTCTCGATATCAAAAGGATGAAGCAGATATTCAGAGTGTCATGCAGTCTATTGAGTCTATGCAAAATCCATTTTCATATTGTGAAAAAGAATTAATTAACATTGCATCTGGCCAAGTAGCATCTTCTGAAATTAAAGATGACATTTTGACAGCACATGAACAAGGCTGTAATATTTCTAATCAGTTTGTTCAACAACGACTAATTTTGAAAAATGTGGAGTTGAATGCACCATTAAAATCAATGAAGATAAAAACTTTTAGTGATCTTCAGAAAAAGCATTCACAACAAAAGAGCAAGAAGGAAGCAGATTGCTTGAAAGCAGATAAAGCCCCTTCTCACTAGGCTTCTTATAGTAGCAAGAACCCGAAAAGTTGACCTGGAAGAAATTTTTCACATTGCCTTTCAGAGTTCCCATCTAGCCTAAGTAACATTGATGGTTTCTTTTGCAGCTTACCAACAAAGCTGCATTATTTCATTATTTACTTGTAAAGTTTCCTGATATGAAAATTAACAATATTCCAAAAAATGCAGCACTGATATTAGATGGAATGGCAGTAATACAACAGCTTGCAGACCATGTTCCATCAAGGTTTGGTGAGCTAAATATTTATGTTTTTAGATATGTAATCAAGCTTACTTCTACTTATATGTCATCAAGAGTTGACTTTGTCTGTGATAAGTACAATCCATGGAGTATTAAAGACTCTGAAAGAAGACGCCGTTTGATTACCCCATGCCACCTGTTATGTGCTCTGAATGAAAAACAGAAAACACCGGTACAATTTCGAAAATTCCTCATGTCTGGTGAAAATAAAGAATCCCTCATCTTATTTATGTTGATGCATTGGAAAAAATTGCCAGCAGAAGAATTTCATGGAAAAACTGTGATTGCTTCATTTAGCCAAGGATGTTTCATGCTGTGTCCTCATAGTGACACAAATGAAGTAATCACAGAAACTTTGCCAGAATTGACAACTGACCATGAAGAAGCCGATACCCTTCTTTTGCTTCATGCAAAGCATGCATCAACTGCTTTTCCTTCCATTATCATTAAGACTCTAGATACGGATGTTTTTCTTCTTTGCCTTGCTCATCAAAATGAATTAAGCTGTGATTTATATATGGCTACTAATACCAACCGATCATCTTGTTTGATCTCTATTAAATCAGTTGCAAAGAAATGTGGACCTGCTCTTTCAAGTGCCTTACTTTCTTTGCGTGCATTCACTGGCTGTGATACTGTTAGCTGCTTTAAGGGAAAGGGTAAAATAAAACCCTTTGAGTTAATGAAAGAAACAGAGGAATTTCTTCAAACTTTCACACATTTAGGCTGCAACTGGCACCTGACAGATGATTTGTTTCAGCAACTAGAAAAATTTGTGTGCTGTCTATTTGGACAGAGAAATGTTTCTTCTGTAAATACTGTTCATTTTAATATTTTTCATATGTCTGGAAAATTGGATAATACTCTACCACCTTGCCAAAATAGTTTACGGTTACATGCAGAAAGGGCAAATTACCATTTGGCGACAATGTCTTCACATTAATATTAATGCTCCTTCTGCAACAAATCATGGCTGGAAATGTGAAGATCAAAAACTCATTGTTCATTGGAGCAGCCTTCCTAAAACTCCATCTACCTTGATGAACTTAGTAAAGTGTAACTGTAAGAAGAACAGCTGTAACTCCAGACGTTGTTCTTGTGTTCGTCAAACACTGCCTTCTACCGACCTTTGCCAGTGTATAGATTGTTTTAATGTACTTAAAAAAATAATGAAATGCAGCAGATTACTGAAATAGAAGATTCTGACTCCTCAGAGGGCGAATGATAAGATGAGCTTGCAGGATTAGAGGACAATCAATTATTTTTCAATTCCTTTTATAAATGTATTACTTGATAACAATTATTTCAACATAACTGAAAAAAACTCTTATTACAATATTTTTTTATATATATAGTCAAAATTAGTCTAAACATTAAGATTTCTATATCAGTCAATGTGTATGTGTGACAAAATTTCATCAAAAAGTAAATGGCAGTCCAAAATGAAGAAAAGTCAATCAACAGAAGTATTTGAAAACAGTTCTTCCATCTATGATTTTTGGAAGGCACAAGATTTGGAAACATATATAAAGGTTTTTCATGTTTTTTTTATCAAATTAATGTACATTGCAATGTTTTACGAGGTTATTCGAATTTGAGAAACTCACACGACAATAGAAAGTAACGTTTTCATTGTTATGGCTTTATGCAAGTCATTTTATTTGCTGAAAATTCCTGATTAAATAAATTAACACATAATATAAGAGCATATATATATCAGCTTCTTGTTGATATGAAAACTTAAATGTGCTAAAAAACTTATTTAAAGTTCATTTTACATGAAGTAAACCATAAAAATGGACTTTTTCCGTAAATGACACACCCTGTATTATCTCCCCTTTTCTGAAGCAGTGCGCACATTTAGCCTGAAGATCTCTTCAGATTTGAAATCAGCACAAAAAATACTCCTAGAAACACTTGAAATTTTCTCATATGAATAAAATGTCCACGAACTCAAAATCTAATCCCTTTTTTGGCCTCTGGTGAAAAACCATTGAAATGTCCTCTTTAATCCGATGTTTAAGGTCATTGAAATCTGGTTGTAGGTTAGTAGTGATCGCAGGCGGATAAAATGTGGACGTGGAAAATCATAGCAACCGCTACAGGCCAAATTTTCAAGATGTTCTGATTTGATATTGCAAAAATTGTTACTGAAAGTGAAATAATATCTTTAGAGATTATTCTACATAAAAAAATATTTTTCATCACCCCACAATTTTAAGTGTCCCCAATGTATCAAATTTGGAGGGGGTGAAAGTGACCCCCTACGCACACACGCACACACACACCTTTTTTTCCCACAAAGCTTTCTAATAAAATAATAACCTATACAGAATATAATTTATTCGTTAATAGATAATTGCTGGGAATTTCATTTAAATCGGATAATTCCCTAATTATGATTTTTGAAATTGAACATTTTTTTTTTATACAGTCTGTAGCGTTTTGTTTTGTTTTATAATTTGTTTGTCTACCCTGTTGTTTTGTTTTGTTTTTTGGTTTTGTTTTTCCTATTATTCACCTCTACGAGAATAATGCATATTACATGGTGAGTTGGTATTTAAATCGATTCCAGTTTATGAAATAGAGTTTTTGGCCTTTGTGGAATCCTCTGCCTTCAAATATTCATCGTGCCAAGAACTCAAGGATAAACAGAAAAGAAAAGCAAACACCAAAGAATGCACAGATCCGTTGTAATTAAGAATAAGAATATTATTTACATTTTTATTAGCCAAAAAACAATTAGAAATGACCGACTACAGTAACTTTAGCAAATATTGAATATTGAATTAGTCACAAGAGTGAAATTAAGGATGGAAAAAGAATTGTCTGTAGTTGATTTGTTCAGACTTTTTTTTTAAAGGAATTTATATATGAATTTAAGTTTTAAATGCCGAGCGTCCCTATATACAGAACGTTTTGATGTAAACTGTAATCGGCGTTTGTTTCATTACCCCGCCTCCCTTTATAAGACTATTTCCATCAATAAAACCGTCGTTTGACGTTCTTTTCGGATTGAAATTTAAAAAAAAAATGTATATCGATTTACAAGGGAAATAATTCATGTTATTTTTTTATGAATTACTTCCCTTGTTATCTTGTCAATTATTAAGTTTTCAATAGTATAAAAGACAGATATATTTTCAATCAGAAATCGATTCAGTAACTGACAGACATTTGAAATTTTATTAATTATGTAAATGCATGTAGGTTTATCCGGTTCAAAAACAAAATCGCTCATACAACTACAAATATATCTCTACTACATATATTTTAAAGAAAAACAGACCACTTTAAGATCCCATTATAATAATTTATTTCACCAGAGCCCTTTTTCATCAGATAGCACTTCCAAAAATGAAACGAAAAATGAAATTAAAATTGATGGGTAGTGTAAATTTTTGTAATTTAACAGAGAGTGCAAAAGGAGTAGTTAAAGAGACATGGTAGAGTTTAGGGAGGGTTTAATTTCATATCTCTCTCAATCATACTTAGTGTTGGGGGAGTAGGAGTGACCAGACCATGACCTATTGAAATGGGAGGAGAGAAGGGAGAAAAGAAAAAGGAAAAAGAAAGAAGAGGGAGAGGGAAGTAAAGAGAAAGAAAGAAATATTAGCTCTGGATTTACATTGAGCTCTCAAGATTTCATCCTCCTTGGAATTGCCCATATGGATTACCAAGTTTTTCATAACTTAAATATATATATATATATATATATATATATATATATATATATATATATATATATATATCAAAATAAATAAAATAAAAAGAAAGAACAGTCAGATTTATAATCCAGAGTTCTTTTACATTTATTTTTTTTAAAAATATTTGATACACCGTTGAGATTTATTTTTTATATTTTAAAAATATGTATTCATTGTGACACAGAAATAAAAAATGTTTCAAAAACCAAAACCTAATTTTTTTAAATTATATATATATATATATATATATATATATATATATATATATATATATATATATATATATATATATATATATATATATATATATATATATATATATATATATAAAAAAGAATGTGTGGCATGTGTTCTCCTTGAAGATACATAGCACAGTGGATAAAGGCGTTAGTTAGATCCAGTGACAGGACCCAAAGAATGTGATTTCAATAACCCGTAAAAGGCAGTTGAGAACTTTCAGAGGGAAATTAACAGGAGATAACTGACAACTGACATCCATTAAACATGGTGCATGGAACTAGAACAGTCTACCCCAATGAGCAAAATAAAAGGTTAAGTTCGACATTTCAACCATCTGAAGAAGGCCGGAGTATACAATGGCCGAAACGTTGTAATAAATATGGCGACAAAGATGAGGAGGACAATAGTCCAAATAATGTAAATAGTGTTCCAGATTCATTTAAGATTTTGAATTGAAGTTCAGTAATGATAACTATGGTAGTAAGCTATAAAAATATATATTGTATTAATAATTCAAATCATTTGGGGATTTTGTGTTTTCAGGATGTCATTTCAAGACTTTTGCCATCATTTCAAGAAGCTTGAAATCTGCAACTTGGCTCCTGATTCCTTGGATGAAGAAGAACTGAATGCTAACTCAAAGAAGAAATGGGAAGTGACACTCGAATCTGGCAGTTGGATACCTCGAGTTAATGCTGGCGGCTGCATCAACTATATAAGTAAATCTTTTTCTTTTCTAGTGTGTGCATGTGGAGGGTGGGTTATATCTTCTCATCATCTGCTAGGGGACAAATGGGTGTATTATCTGTTTATATATTGTGGTCAGAAAGTCACCTGTTTACAAGTTGGTGGTGAGGTCAATTTCCAGGTTAACCCACTTTTCTGATGCTCTGGTGTGACATTTAGTGTAAAGTCTGTTTTAGTAACATCTAGGATGAGTCCAGTACATAATGGGTTCTACACAAATCACCTTCTCTGAGAACAAAGGTTCCTTGTTGATATTAAATTCATTTTCGACCATTTTTTGGCATTAATCACATACTACAAATATTTTGGCTTCTTTTAGTTGACAGGCAAACAGTACAACTATTTTTTTTTATAATGGGACAAATTTTATTTGTTAATTTTAAAATGTAACACTTTAGTGTGACTGCAAGATGTCATCACTTTAAAAAATAGAAACTAATTTTGATAAACCTTCTCTTGCTTTATCATTTATATTTGGATCCAATCTTTGTTAATGGATGACATCAGAATTCCAAGAGATTTGGAGATTTATATAAAAAAGGAAATGAAATGTAAAACAAAAGAACATATTAAATTCCTAGCATGAATCTTTCCATTTTCATTCTTAGAACAAATGCTGTATATATTTAATTACTAATTTGCTAGAAATTATAAAAACATTTATTTCCATTTCAGATACTTTCTGGACAAACCCTCAGTATAGGGTAATGTTAACTGATGTTGATGATGATGATGATGATGACCTGTGTACTTTGATAATTGGACTTTTGCAAAAAGACAGGCGCAAGAAGAGAAAAGAAGGAATTGAGAATTTGACTATTGGCTACATGATATATAAAGTGAGCGATTCTAACATTCTTCCATTTTCTTATGACTATTAATTTACTGAATCTTTCTGTTGCATTTATTTCAGTTTTTATATTTAATGAATGGCCCTCATCAAATCAGTAAAAATGTTGTTAAATCTCAAAAAAATTTGGTTAGATGTGATTTTTAAAATGGCTGATGAAGAAAGAATACTGAAAGAAACTAAAGATTGAATTATTTTGAAAAGTTGAAAATCAATTTTCACCCCCAAAAGTACATTTCATAATTTATAGTAGTTTTTATTTTATTTTTATAGTACTTAATAGTAAAAGCCATGGCAATAAGCATATTAATCATAAAAAGGCATTCATTTTACCCAACAAATATTTATTTTTCAACATAGTCTCCTCCTTCCTTGTCAATTCACTTAATTCAATGATGATTATTAATCATATAGACTGAAAATTATACTGTGAATATTTCATATAAAAATTCAGATAATAACATCTCAAGTTATGGATTTATTAATAAATCATCACATATATATATATATATATATATATATATATATATATATATTAAGACAAGTTTTGTTAGATAATTTAGACATGTTCTATCTACTTATTCTTGGTAGGATCCTTTCATATTCATGGATAAGCTTTTTTATGCAGTTATTAAAAGACAAGAGGAAAACACGGTGTTGGCTCATATTGTATTTATTTCTGAGTACTTTCAACATAGCATAATGTCATCATCAGGGTATTGTTAATTATAGAGTAAATATTTAGTGTTCATGGTTGTGAAGGACAAAAATTGTTGTGGTCATCTGAAGATTACCATTTTTATATGTGGAGTCACGAACGCTGTGTCCTCGCTGGTTGAGAGACACCGTTTAAGGGAAGGTAACTAGGCATGTTGTAGAAAAGTTCCCGGCTTGAGGAGTTGCTAGATAAAGCAAAACTATTAATGACAAGTGCTAACATTTAAAGACTATCTATTGTACATATTTCAAAATGTTTGTGAAGTATTCATAATTAATTTTATTGAGGTTTGGTTGCAATTTTCTGATATAAATAGCTTCAAGAATTTTTAGTTTGCGTTTATTCTTTTCATAAAAAAGTATAGAGGTATTTTCCTGAATTGCAAATGTGGACAGGTATGTTGTAACTGTTTAGAAATATTGGATGTGTTATTCAAGTGAAGACATAGCCTATGTGATAGCATTGTTGTCATGTGTCCAACATAGATATTATTTTTATCATTGGAGATGCAATCTCCAAGAGGACACTTAAACTTATAAACGATGTTGGTTTTCTGCAACATGCAAGTGGCTGGGGAAGAGTCATTACAAGTGATTTTATTAGATATAGTGGATTTAGTATAGTATATAATAAGTTTTATTTTATTTTTTTTTTAACTATGATCTGTGGTGGATGTATCAGTTTTTTTATTAATTAGCATGCATCTGGTTACAATATAAAAGGTGGATATGTTTAGGGTTAGTTAGATGAGCATTATATTCTATATGTTTTGTACAGACGTCTCTGATGGAGGATCTTATTTTCTTGTCAATGATGTAGTTAGGGAATTTATTATTGATGAATGTTTGTTTTATACTTTTAAGTTCACTGTAGAGGATCTGATTTGTGGATGAATTAATTTTTGCACAGTTTATTAGGTTTTTTATAATAACTATTTTATAGTAATTTGGACATTTGCTTTTATAGTTAAGAGTACAGGAATTTATGCTGGTAGGTTTTTTATATGGGGAGATGGTAAACTTATTATTATTGATGTTAATCAGTATATCAAGAAAGGGAATTTTGTTAGTAGTATTAAGTTCATATGTAAACTCAAGGATGGAATTTTTCCACAGCATACCTAGTTACTCTCCCCACCCACACCCTTAAACGGTGTCTGTAACCCAAGCCTTGACACAGCATTCCTGGCTCCACATATAAAAATGGTAATTTTTGGATGACCACAACAATTTTTGTCCTTCACAACCATGAATACTAAATACTTACTCTATAATTAACAATACCCTGATGATGACATTATGCAATGTCGATAGTACTTGGAAATAAATACAATATGAGCTAACACCATGTTTCCTCTTGTCTTTTAATAACTGCATAAAAAGTTTGTCCACAAATATGAAAGGATCCTATCAAGAATAAGTAGATAGAACATGTCTAAATTATTTAACGAAAATATATATATATATGCCATATATGGTCCGGAGCTCCTGCTATTTATCTAGAGCTCCTTGATAAAATCCAAAGAAGAATCAGTAATATTATTGATCCTGGTCGAGTCTTAGCTTCAGCCACTTTCCCACCATCTTAAGGTTACCTCCATTTTGCTTTTCTATAAATACTTTCATGATAATTGTTTAGATGAGCACTTTGCTATGGAGCATGGACTCTTTAAATTTAAGCACAGTACTAGACTGGTGACAAGGTCTCACCAATTTACAATTAAGTTGGCTAGATGTAACCATAAATTCTATGCTAATAGTTTCTTTTCACGCACTTCTCACTTGTGGAACTCCTTTCTGGCTCCATGCTTTCCAGCCAACTTTAATCTGCAAAAATTTCAATGAAATATCAATAATTGCTATCTACTGTCCTTCTGATTACTCTTCATTTGTTCTCACTCCTTAGTAATATTTCTATTTCTAACTCTGTCACACCTAGTAACCAGTTGTGTCTCAGTAGTTTTACTACCTTGCATGGGGAGAACTTGTTTAAAACTAACCTCCTTAGATAAGAAATAAAAAAAACAAGGAAAGAAAAAAGAAAGATCAAAAGACAGACACCTACATACACAGTAAAATGCTCAAAACTCAAACTACCCAGACAGAGCAAAAAGCGCTTCTCAATGTCAACACCTAACAAAGGACATTTTGAGTCATTACTCAAGTTTTACGCTCTTTAGACAACCAGAATGACTTTCTATATTATCAAACAAATCAATGGCCACTTTGGTGTTTCTCAATTGGTTAACACTCAATATGTTTTTGAGTTTCTTACACAACCTTTTCCTTGTTTATCTTACTAACCTTCCCAACCTGGTTTTTATTTGGATTAATTAGCCTACACTGGGCTTTACTTCTAACATGCATTTTGTGATTCTCAAGTATTGTTATTGCTGGGTTTTTTTATTATTGTTTTTTTTCCACTTTCTCTATCCTGTTATCAAGTTTTAATTTTGCCATGATTTTTACCGCTTCCTTGTTGATATCTTTCTCCCAGTCCAAGGTTGCTTTCTTAAATTTATTTCTTATAGCCTTCACCAAAATATAAAAGCTCTGAAACTTATCCCCCTTGATAGACATGTTATTTGATATTTTTTAATCTCTTTAGCATCTTCCTTCAAACGCTTCTGAAAATCTATTGCTAACCTCTCTAAACTCTAACTTATTAACTACATTAAAAAGCTCTTCCTCAAATTTCTCCAGTTCTTTTTGTGGCAGTGGACATTTTTGTTTTAAAGCTGAAGCTATCAGTTATCTCATTAGTGTCTTCTCTGTTTGAAAAAAAAAAATCTTCTACCGCATCTTTATCTTTTAATGATATCCTCAATTTTCTTGATTAATTTTATTTTAAATTCACACTGGTTTAGCTCAAGTATACTCTTCAGCAATATATATATATATATATATATATATATATATATATATATATATATATTAAGAGATTGTTTTACCAATCCATATTGTTGTGCATTAGGCATCATGAATGTTTAAAAGTCTTGCAGAGCGCTCCTTCAAGTCTGTTGAATTGAGTCGGAAAAAGAATAAACTTCCATCTATGTTTAAAATAACTTGTGTGATTAAAAGAAATAAAACTAATAATGTTTCCAAGTCTCAAGCATTCTGTGAGCTGCTCTAGTTTGGTTCTCTTTACAATTTAGAAACAATAAAGACAAAAAGAGGAGGCAGAGTGAAGTAATGGATTAGCCACTCAGATTGAGGAATCGGAGAGCCGAGTTTGGATTCCAGTCAAATCCATTACATTCACTTACGTGCTTATAATACCCTTGGGAAAGGGTATGAATCCTCTTCTTCTCCCCCCAGTTATGGGTAAATAGCAGGACAGACTGGGTTCTATAGCCTTGGATGGCAACTAGTTTACCACAGAAAGTAATGGCAACATAATGCGGGAAAAAAATCAGCCTCATCAATCATGTGTTATAAGATACATGATCACCTAAGCATGTATCATGCATGGCACATAACTGACTGAAAGACAAGCATCAGTCATTTTTCACATTTCACACATTCTTTTGTTGGTGCTTTCCACAATACATCTTATTGATGCATAACTAGATGCAATAATTCTGCTTAGAAATGTAGATCAATAAATCAATTTTAAGTTTTTTTGGAGGTACAGAAGACACAGCAGGAAACAAGTTTTCTTTGTCAGTCAGTTTATCCACCTGAGACTTCTAAATTGCCAAGACTAAATCTTTCAAAATTATAAATCTCAGTCAGTTATGTTTCCGGTTACCAAAACATGATTCTATTGCTTGCCTAAGCACCAAATGAATGTATCTTCTTTTCTTCTACTTTTCCAAAATTTCTTCCTATATTCTGATCAGAACTTAACAGAAAAAAATGTTTTTTTAGATCGTTAATATTTGTTGAACCTCTTTGGGGCTCAGTAATATATTCTACTGCATAACAAGAAAAGAAAAGTGGCAAATATTTTTTTGTAGTCACAAGCTTACTCTATAATTTCTATTATGGCTTTGAAGCTAAGAAGCTTTTGTTTTGTAAGCAGATAATAAAATGAACCATGTAATTTTTGTAAAAATTTTAAATGCTGTGAAGTTTACTAAAAAATATTTTATTTTAATGATTCAAAATAATTTGCCAAAAATGTAGAGAAAAAGCACTAAAGTCCAATAATCAACAGACATTAACAGAAAAGATGACATTAACAGAGAAGATGACATTAACAGAGAAAATGACATTAACAGAGATGACATAATTCATCAATAATTTATGTTCTTTCCTGATAGTTTTGTTAATTATTTTTCAACAACTAATGATTAACAAATGCATCCAAATATTGAGAGATTCTTATTTTTTCCACTTTGTAGTTGGATGAAAAAGATTCAGGAGACATCAAAGACTTGAACTTTTTCAAATATCATGCTTCATGTGATAAGTCACCTAATTTCATCAACACTCGAGAAGTTTGTGGCCGACACAAACTTCCACCAGGGAACTACCTCATTATACCTTCAACATTTGAACCAAACAACACAGGAAACTTTCTTATTAGACTGTTTACAGAAAAACAAAATAAAACAGGGTAAGAATAGAAATGAATCATTTTTACAGCAACAGATTTATGGCATATAAATGTAAATATATGACAGGCTAAAAAATATTCAGCTTCTTGTTTTGTTTTTTCACATGTTATAGGTATACACCTTTCTTTATTATTCTATTATTATTCTATTATTATTGATTATACTCTGGTGCCCATTATTAGTAAAAGGGATTTATTTAATTAGGAAGTTTCTTAATTACTAAGCTAACATGAAAATAAAAATAAATTGAGAAAATATCACGTTTATACTTTATGCTCAATGTAAAATTTTCAACAAAAATATTCAACAAAAATAAAGAAATGCATTTTTTTATGAATTCCACAAAAATCAAAACTACAAACTTCATTTCAATTTTAATTTAGTGTTGATTACTGATCAAAAATTTATGACTGAAAACTAATCAAAGAAAATATAACTCGTCTCAACTTGTCAAGCAAATGATGTTGATAGGATATAAAATACTAATTTTTTTAAAATGTTTAATTTGGAAAGATTAATGATCTTACTGGTAATTGAAAACATATAATAAATTAAATGTGAAGCTGAATATTTTTAGTTAATGTACTACAGAGACAAAAATAATATAAATTACAAAAATGAGAAGAAACCTATCCTTGTTATAAAAAATTAGAAACGTTAAAGTTTCAAGTTTGCTAATAGCTTTTGTTATGAGGATCAAACTTAGTAGCCATAGATATTCTATGTGCACTAACTCAAAGTTGTCCATGAGCTATAGTTATAGCTCTCTTCATGTTAATTACCTATTAGCTAAACGAATCCCATTTTACCCTAACCCTGAATCTTTTGGGTTTCATGACCTGCATGGATGTACAGTTTCTTCTACAGTTTTCTTAATTCAATTTAAAGGAAATTCCAAGCATATAACACAAAGTGATGGCTAACAAGTTTTGCAAACTATAACTTGTGACTTTAATTCATTTAATTCCTTATAACTTCTGCTATTCATTTATGCTGAAATAAAGAATGATGGGAGAATATGAAAATATAAAAGAGTCAAAAATAATATCTATCTCCTTTAATTAAAATAGATTTAATAGTAGAAAAACACAGAGCATAAACAAAATAAACTCAAAAGTTTCAAGATTCCAAATTGTGTTCTCAACATAGTTTCCTTTCTTCTGAATGTTAACTTTAAATGAGAACATATATATCTGACCCATAGAAGCTGTGGACAGAGTTGCCTCTTTTATCTCATCATTTTGTTGTTGTTGTTGATTTTTTTTCTCTTGTTTATTTTCAGTGTTGTAGATGAAGTGACAGGACTGAAAGAAACAGAGGTACTTGACAATTAAAATCAGTAAATTTTTCTTTGCATTTTTTAATATTTATGTTGAGATGGATTTTTCTTAATTTGATAAAGCTTATATTTAATCAGAATTTAACTAATTTATTTCAATGACAAAATTACCTACAAATACTACATCTCCTGTCAAGTAAAAATCTCTTAATTATTTTGTCCTGTAAGTTGCTAAGAGTTGGTAGAGATCTTTCTACTCTAGAATAGTTGATATTCTGTGTTGATCTTCAGAATTGTTAATAGTAAAAATATTCACAATATTTATTAAGATTTTCTTTTGTTTCTTTTGAAAATAAACATTACATTTAAGACAAGAAGATGACTCTAAAAATCAAGGTTACATATTTTGTAAATTTTTTATTATTTAGTGGCATTTAGACATTGATATATAGAATGATATATAGGCTGCATCTAAAATAGAAATAAGAGTTGCATCAATTGGATTATTTAAATTAAAATGAATGTACCTTAACGAGATGGAAAATTCTTTGAAGTGCCACATGCTTGGTTAAGGCCAATAATATAATTGGTGAGTAATTTGTCACTGGTAAAAACTTCAACTCTGGATGCAATGAACAGAAACGAATCCTTTCACACGACTTCAGACACTCTTTTCTTATTAATTAATTTAACTTTTTTCCTCGTTTTATATCAAAACGAATTTCACATAGACTCATGACTTTCTGCTCTTTCTTCTTCAGCTAATTTCTGTTGAGACAAGATTTTCATTGGTCAAAAAATTTCAAATAGGCTTGCAAACTTATTTCCATCTTTTTCTCAGCTTACCCAAATATGAAGGGAGTGAGTAAAGGGATTTATTATTATTTCGTACCTCATAACAAATCCATCAAACAAAAGAAAAAATTATGGATAATTTAGAGTGAAAGTTAGAGAATGGATGTTAAAAAGGATATTTGTAGGTAATTTTACTAAAGTTGGGTCATTGAAATATTTATAGTTTTTCTTATTTCATAGGATAATTATTGCCCTGTTGCAAAACTGAATATTTAAAAATAAGTTAATAAATAGACAACATAAACTATTTAATTTGACTTATTGTCAGATTAATTCAGTTATTCCATTTTCACAAAGCCTGAAATATAATAATTTCTAGTCAATTAGACTAATGTAAATCTGTTGAGACTAAATTTTACCATTTTTATGTCAGTTTGGGAATGGAGTATCATTTCAAATCAGGAATATTTAAATTATATAACTTTCAAATGGACACAAATATGAGTCACTTCTCTAACATAGATTGGAATACATCAAGCCAAGAACATTTTTACATTTTTAATCCATTATGTGTGGCAAAGCTAAAACTGTTTAATGTGCTGAAATCAGTTCAAACAAATTTCATTTTTTAAAGAAAACCCAGTTCTTGAAGATGATAAATTTTTGATTAGAAAGAAATAATTTTTGTTTTTTATATATTCCAGTCTGACAGTGAAGATGTTGCAGCAAATCCTGAGGTAAGTGTTATAAATATATAATTAAGAAAATAACTTCATGCATGCTTGCATATTGTCAAGCAATTATTAACATACAAATGTTGAGGAATATTTTGTCATATTTGGAGAGTGGATGCATTGAGATTTCCTCAGACAAGAAAGTAAGAGTTACAATTAGCAAGAACAAGAACTAGATTAAATAAAGGGTTCAGTTCAGAATTCTCTGTAGGTTACCCACATTGATATACACCTAAGAAAGGTTGGAGCTCATGATGTTTGAATCATTGTGAGAAAAACAACAAAGATGAGGACAATAGTCAGAATAAAAATTGTGTTAATAGTGATAACTCCTCATCCCAGAAATTCATACAGAAATTAACAATATATTTTATTTTATTGTCTGAACAAAAGTAAATGGCTTATGGCCATATCTTGAAACACTGGTTCCCATGTAATCAACAAAGTTAAGCAATGTCGAGCCTGATCAGTACCTAGATGGGAATACCAGGTGCTGTAAGCTTGGATGTGCAGGTGACATAATAGATAACAATTATGAATAGCTGAGTTCTAATTCCAGTCAAGTTCATTATATTCACTTATGTGCAAATATCCTTGGGAATGGTATGAATCCACCTCTTCTCCCCCCCAGATATGGATTAATTAGTAAAACTTGTATCACTAAATCATTATTATCTTCAAAACAAAAAATTTCTTACAATCTAAAAAATATTTTCTGGCTTTAAATAACCTGCCAAAGGTTGATTGGCCATAAAAATAGGTCAATTGAATCAATCAAAACTAAATTGAAAGAAAAAAAAAAAGCAATAAATGAAGGTTTGTATGTAGAGATGTAATTATATTTGATGTATGCATGAAGTTCCTATGAAAGAGTCTGAGAGACATTTGAAAAGAGTTCTTTGTTGCTTTGGCAGAATTATTAGACATGTTTGCATGCAGTCAATTAAGTTTCAGTCAAGTTGTATGCAGTCTGTTATTCTTTGTTGTGTCCAATGCAGCATGTGGTTTGGTGGAAGATCAAAAGTTTGCTCTACCTCATCACTGATAAGCAAAACAAAATATGGGTAAAAAAGAAAAAAAAACCAGAGACTTTTGCATTCTTTTGTTTTATTTAACTTTTGCAACACCGTCTTGCAGTCATTAGTAGAGATTCTTTGGCAGGCAAATGAAATAATCCCACACTAGTCTTGTAAGTTATTGTTAATGAATTATCTCTTTGGTTGTTCATTATATATCTGGTCAAATGGCAAAGTTGGTTTCCTCCTAGTAATATATAATAGAATTTTGTGTGTGAGGATTTTACAAAATAATCCCCAGAGAATACATAAGACTGAAAATATATTATATATATATATATATATATATATATATATATATATATATATATATATGTGTGTGTGTGTGTGTGTGTGTGTGTGTGTGTGTGTGTGTGTGTATTATTAATGCCATAGACTTTCAATCCATTTCTGGTGTAGTACACTAGTGACATCCTTGAGTTATTGTTATTAAAGTTCTGTAGAGATGCTTTTCCCCATTAAAATAAATATTGATAGTAAACAATAGTCATTATGTTCCAGCAAATGAATAGCAAAACTTTTTATGAATAAAATCCTCTTGGGATTGATTCCACATAAGTTGTGGCTTTTTGCATTTAATATACAGTAAACATTTCTCATTCCCGGAAATATTCTGAAGAAAAAGATAATTTTTATTTTTGGTCAGCAGACTGTTACAAATATGCTTAATTGTGGTGAATTGTCTCATAAGAATTTGTAGGAAATTTCTTCCTTGTTTTTTTTTTCCAATTTGTTCCAATTTGTTTGAGATGTATATAATTGACCATGTTTTTGTCCTAAATTTTGGATGTTTTTGTGAGAATCTAATTGAGAATTTACTGCTCTCCAAAGATCACTAACCAAAGTGAATAATTTTCTGGAGCAAGTCTTTTTCACATTGAATACCTTTCACCTTTTGAAACATGCTCAGCCATTGCTAGTATTACCACACTGACTCTGCTGTACCCAAATGAACAGCACAAATATTCTTCATTTTCTGTGTTGCATTACAGCTGTTCTAACATTCATAAATATTTACAAATGTGATACTTATTAAATACTTTCTCTCTCATAAACACAACCACTTATTCAACTTTGATATTGTTGTAGTTGATTGGTTCCAAATTTGTGTATTTTAAATGCAAATTTTTTAACAGCTGAATACAAAAAATTATTTCAATAAAATTCTTCATTACAAATTTCATAAAGAATTTTTCATACATTTATTCTTATCATATAAGTAGTTTTTCTGAATATTCTTGATGTATGAGTGAAATGTGGGCAAATATGGAAAAGTCAATCATAAAATAAATATTTGTGGAACTCACTTTTTATACCTGAATATTTTACTCTAGTCTGTACCTGTGATTTTTGCTAATATTTTTGTCCTGTTGCTTTATTAAATATTTAAATAATTTAAATATTTAAATTCCATTTTTTCTTTAAGAAATTCTTAATATATTCTTAATATTTCATGGATTCTTAAGATATTCTTAATATTTCATGGATTCTTAATATTTCATGGATTCTTAATGTCAATAGACCAAAGTTTATATAAATCTAAAAAAACAAATAATCTTAAGACACTGCCACCAAAAATAATGTTTTATCAAATAATATTTTAAAGCAAACTTAAAATATTCAAATAAAATTCTATAAATCAGCAAATTATGAATTTTACAATTGGTTTAAAAATAGAACAACATTTAATGCAACAAACACGTTTCATTAAAAATTCTTCTGAAAGAAAACCTAACGTGATACAAGTTAATTTTCATTCCATGTCTGAAAATAATGCCATTAAAATTGCCTTTTATAACTTCATAAAAATGTCTTAAATCAAAAATTGCAATAACTTAGAGATATATGGATTCTTGTTGGTTGGAATTCATTTGAGATATAACACATTGTATCAAAGACATTTAAAGAATTCATGTACTAATTCCAAACAATCTTAAAGGCATTCTCTCTATTATTTGAATTAAAAAGAATTTTGCAATACCTTTTTCCCTTTTATAAAAATGAATATTTTTATTATTTGTCTATTTTCATCTTCATTTTCATTTTTATAAATAAAATAACAAAAAATTAACAGCAAAGGGTAGTAACAAACTTGAAAATCATTTTACCTCAATGTTATTATTATTGTTGTTGTTAGTAATGTTGTAACTATTTTCTCTTGTAGATAGCAACAATTAAAGAACAGGAAAATAAACTAAGAGAAAGCTTCAAAACAATTGCTGGAGAAGACATGGAAATTGATGCATATGAATTACAAGATGTTCTTAATACTGTCTTCAAAAAAGGTCAGTGTCAGAAACTTTCTGTCTTTATTTCATTTTTTCAATAACAAATTTATTGTTTTATTTACTATTCTGAAATCTTTACTTTTTATATCCATAATGTATCAAAAATATTGTTCAATCTTACTCAAACTTTTTTATTATTAGTTTTAGTCTATTGTTGCATTTTATCACCCTGATTCAATAAACAGCATGAAAATCAAAAATAGTACAAAGATAAAACTCAGCTATTTGTGTCTTTTAAAATAAAAGATAGTATTATGAATTAAAGAAGAAATGACAAAATGTTGACAAATATGTCCTCCACTAAATCACTGAATCATCCATGGCTGAAGTATTTAAGGTGGTGTTCATAAAAGATGAGCTTTTTGTGATAGGAGATGCAAGTACAATTTTCAAAAATTTATGGAAAAAATTTTAAGTTTTCAGAATCCTTGTAATCTGCTTCAATGAAAGAAATAAATGGTAGTTAACATAACAAATTATAATCAGACAAATTATAAAAGATTTTGTCTTACAAATAATGGAAAAATATCAAAATGAATTTGTTAAAATTTACTTTCAAAAAAGTTCAATTCTTCTGTTTTTTGTAAATATCCATGGCATCAAAATTTAGTATGTTCTTTCATTTTATTATCTTTTCCAGTTTCAAGTTTATAAAAATAATTTATATATTCATTTCTATTTAAATACTTTCCAAAGAGCTTTTGTATTTTCTTTTCATAGATCTTGACCTATTATAACACACACCCTTACATTTGCATGAATAGAGGTTTTGGCTCTGATAAAAATGCTTTCCTCAACTTACAAACTTCTTATTTTTTCATATTTAACCTTGTATCAGTGTGTTAATTAATCCATAAGACAAGATCAATTTGGTGACTCATTTCATTTCAATCAAGAATGATTAAATAATTGTGCATCAAATTTGTTTCCTTAGAAAAGATTTCTCCATATAAAATTCAACCAAACATTTCACCATATAAAAATTCTAGCTGAAAACTAAAACTAAAATTTTTCTTTAGTTGTCAAATTATTTCTGTTTAAACTGCTTTTATCCACTAATTGATTATTAGTTGACCCCCAAAATAAAGACCAAGTTAATAATAATGTTAACATATATAATTTCTGTGCCACTTTTTAATAAATTATTTACATTCCTCATTGACAATGTACACTTTTATAACCAGAATTGTTACACTTATGACCACTCCTATATAGCATAGAAACGCAATATCTTTATCTTGAAATTTAAGTACAATTATTTGAGTCAGAAGCAGTTATAAGATGAAAGAATTTTAATTAATTCCTTCAAATTTAACAAAATTGTAAATAATTTTTTGATCATTCAGTCATTCTCAAAATGCAAAAATAAATATTAAATACAATGTTTTCTTTGGGCCCAAAATATATTAAAATAATAAAATTCAAATATAATTTCTTACCTATTAGAGCATGATAAAAAGATTCAAGAGTAATTGCAAATATAACTGAATGAAAATACATTAAACAAGATATTTGCACTTACTCTTTCATTTGATTGTAATTATTTTGAGAGAAATTTTAGGACAACATTCATTTGCTCTTCTGTCTATTTTTATTTTATTATTATTTTCATCCTTTTTTGTTTAAAAGTTTAAATTTTAAAGTAAGTTTAAATTTATATAAAAATTACTTTTATCAATAATTTAAGCAATATACTTTTCTATTGATTTATTTAAATGTTTGTAAAATTTTTTGTTGTTGCATTTTAGGTTCTTCACTTGGTAAGAGGTTTTTAACTCATGTTGCATTTTAGGTTCTTCACTTGGTAAGAGGTTTTTAACTCATGTTGCATTTATTAAAAATAAATTAATTTTTGTTAGTGTGTTTCCATTCTGTTTTTGCTTTTTTTTCTTTGGTTTGCATATGGAAATGACAGAAATGTGTTGTGTAACCATGTGGTGTGCCCAAATGTGAAAATAATATATAAAAATAAAATATTACTAAGACATTCTGACCAACCACTATCTCTCCAGATAACTAAAATTAATTGGCTGTGGGAAACAGAATAGAAATAACATTTTAAAGTTAATACAGCTATACAGCTAAGAAGAAATTACCATTACTATTTTATTGAAGAACTAGAAAGAGAGTAACACAGTGACTAGTACACAATTGTAAAGTTGCATAAGTAGTTTTAAAAGTCAAAAAATAATGCAACTGAATAGAAGCCTTGATAAGTTGACTTTGGCATTTAAACTTCAAAAGGAAATCTAATGCATCCTTTTAATTATATATAAATTATAATTTAATTATATTAAAATACATAATTTTGATTATTTTATATCATCAGGTTTCATTCATTCCAAATAATCAACTGATACTAAATAAAATTCATATCTTCATTTTAAAATTTTTTTAGAACTGCTCCTGTTCTTCTCTCATGTGTGTGAGCATGTGTAGACTAACAAACATAAAATTTTATGCAAGCACACACACACACACACATATCTATCTATCTATCTATCTATATATATATATATATATATATATATATAGAGAGAGAGAGAGAGAGAGAGAGAGAGAGAGAGAGACCTAGATAGATAGATAGATAGATAGATAGATAGATAGATAGATAGATAGATAGATTACTCTTGAGAGTAGATTTCAGTGTGTGCACCGGAAGAAATATGGGCTGAACACTTTTTACATTTTCTTCATGCTTCTACATGCATAAATTAATATTTTCCCTATAACCATATGAATGATAACATATGCATATCCTATCTCTCTCTCTCTATCTATCTATCTATCTATCTATCTATCTCTCTCTCTCTCTCTATATATATATATATATATATATATATATATATATATATGAAAGAAAAAAAAAAAAAACAAAATTCTGAATATGCATTATTAATGTTAAAATAAAAAAAAACGTCAGACGTTTCTAATATTGTCTTAAATAGACCAAACGCCTGACTTCGACTTTATTTTAACATTAATAATGCATATTCAGAATTTTGTTCATCTTCATGGACATTTTCATTTAAACATAATTAACATTATAACTTATAACAATTTAACACAAAAGACGATGGACATAAGAACCCAACTAATTCAAACAGATAACTGAAATTTTATACTGATCAGCGTTCTGTTTAAATATGATCACGTAGTCGTCTCGTGGGCGATGTTGTTAAGACGTATTCGAAGATGATTTCCAAAAATTAAAATATCAAAAAGTCGATTGAAAAATTTTTATAAAAAGTTAAAGAAATCTCTTCCGTTGATGTTGGAATACGTAGTGAAACAATTGGTTCTTATATCTTCAACAAGCTTGAAAGTCCTTCCCGTTACAATGCAAATATTATCTTATGAGTTCCATTATTTTACAAAGAAATTCTCATCTTTTTCATTTTTTTTATCTTCTTTCACCATGTACATTTCTATAATTTATTGCAAAAAACACTTTTTCTAAATTGTAAAAATCTATGTTCAAAAATCTTTTAACATGATATATTTGTAAATTAGAGATTAGTAGATATATAAAATAAAGTTCATTTTAAATGTAGTTGGAATTTGGTTAATTATAAAGTATTCTCCCCTTATTTGCAAATAATTATAATACAAATTCTATAAATAGCAATGTCTTTATGCAAATAGTTTTATTCAATCTTTCCTTTGTTTATGTAAATATGAACTGTTATCTTCATTTTCAATTTTCAAGCTTTTTTTCTTCTTTCATCCTTTTTCTTTATCAAAATCATAGACATTTTAAAGTTCAGATTTTCAGTACAAAACTTAAAGTAAAACTTAATTTTCATATTTATGGATAAGAGGACCAATTAATCAGAACAGTTAAAAATGTAAATCAAATTAACAGTTATTACTTAGTTTATTCAATTACTTTTTTCAATTCAGATAATTAATCAATGGCTATTTACCAATTTTCATTCCTAATATAAATTTTCAACTCTTTGATATTGTTACCATTTGCAACATAAGTTGGATTGAGTCAGATTTAGTGCAAGGCTACATTCTAGGTGTGGTCAGTGATGAAGAAAGTCTTCATCTGTGCCTTACAATTGCATTATGGTGGGGGATGATACTATTTTAATACTGCAAATTTTGTACATTGATGTAAACAGCAGCATATTTACTTACATATTGCATAAAGTGAGGAAAGAATAAGTAAACATTTATCCTTCACTAAATCTAATTCATTCAGTCTATACTTATGTATAAACACAGAAACATCATCATCAAAGACAAGGAGTTCTTATTAGAGTACCAAAATCAGTGTCTAACCAGCCATTTATTTTTAAAAAAAAAAAGTTGGAACAAGAAAGAAAGTCTTCATGTAGAAAATGGCTGCACAAAAATAGTACTTTGGTATGAAATTTTATCAATTTTTACATTTATATATATATATATATATATATATATATATATATATTATTTGTAGCAAAATGATTGATGTTGGAATACGCATATTCAGAATTTCGTTTTTTCTGTATTTTTCTTTCATACTGTCGGATTTATATCCATATATTTGCTTACATACTGTCTACTGAAAATACAAACCTGAATTTACTTTATAACGTGGAAGATTTCAAGCTTGGATGAGAATAATAGATCAAGTAAGGAATGGAATTTTTATCAAACTGTTTTTTAGAACTGTTGCATCGTTTTTGAAATCATTTTTGGATTTGCATTGTAACGGGAAGGACTTTCAAGCTTGTTGAAGATATAAGAACCAATTGTTTCACTACGTATTCCAACATCAACGGAAGAGATTTCTTTAACTTTTTATAAAAATTTTTCAATCGACTTTTTGATATTTTAATTTTTGGAAATCATCTTCGAATACGTCTTAACAACATCGCCCACGAGACGACTACATGATCATATTTAAACAGAACGCTGATCAGTATAAAATTTCAGTTATCTGTTTGAATTAGTTGGGTTCTTATGTCCATCGTCTTTTGTGTTAAATTGTTATAAGTTATAATGTTAATTATGTTTAAATGAAAATGTCCATGAAGATGGTCTTAAATAG